TACCTGTGATTTTCCACTAAGTACGAGCGCATCCGCATTCTTGGACATTTTTGTACTTATGTACATCCGTACCTTTACGAGTCCATCAACCGGGTGGTGGCGGTGAGTTTTTCTTCCCGCCCGTGCTTGAGCATACGAGAGGGCGAAAGTGAATTAAATTGACGATCCAAACGATGGGTTATTTGTTAACAACCGGCAAGTCCCTCCGACCATATACGCATATTTTACTGATACGCGCACAATCTACGTCACGCCTCTCGCCTTTTTTCAACTTGTTCTATAAATTATATACCTATATCTACTGCACTGTACGCGATAACTAATAGCTCACGATTACATACGATGCCCTTTGGCGTGAAATTTTTTTTTCTCCAATCTGCAGACTACTGATACTCTATTTCTGGCGAGCATGAACTACCGGCCACTCGGATATTACAGCGGTGGACGGCCTCATACCACGCGATTGGGATTCGAAGATTCGAGAATCTCCGGCCGGTCGACGGATCCCATTATTACCCACTGTTACCTGTTACTCTACTGCAGGACCTGTATACTAACTGGAAATCATCACCGTGATTCTTTCAATTTATAATTAAAGGTTTATCGATGAAAACCAATCATTCTATCCCATGACACAACTGCTTATCTGACTCAAACTTATCTTTTTTTTCATCTCGATTTCTTTTACATAATAATTTCATGTTATTTTTATCTGTTATAGTGCAAATTTTAAGACCTTACGGTAGAATCATTGATGCAGCGGTCACATTTTCAACAAGTGAGATTTTCGAAGTACGTGTAGATTACCCGATGAATAGCCGAGTTTAATCAAGATCAACTCGATATCTCGACAAATGTATGTATATATCTTACGTCAATTTTGTTTTTCAAGAATCATCGGAGATTAATGAATGATCACCGCAAATGCATAAATATCGAAGGGGTGGAAAAAGGTAGGTTGGCAATACATGACGCCAAGTTGCCTTGACTATACAGTTGTTAAAGCCTGAAATTTTGCTAATTTGATCGTAGATGGCAATCAAATATTTAAGTGAGCATATCAGGGCAGGACGCCAATTAAACATTTTTTTATACTTAAACAAAAAAAAAATTATTAATTGTATTAGATTACATTATTTCAAGTGACTTAATCATATCTCGATAGATTGGCCGTCACGTGACTGAAGCCTATCTATATTCGTTATCTAATTGGTCAGAACTGGATGACCACGTGGTTAATTTAATTCGAATGGAATGGAAAGACAAACCGGAAAAAAAAAAATGAAAAAGCACTGTCAGTGTGAAAGAAAAATATGCCGAAAGCATTAAAATTTGAAAGTTAAATAAATAAAGATGAATGCTCTCTGCTGTAAAGATAAAAAATAATCGGTTGATTGATCTCGAAACGAGATTGTAGAGTACAAATTAATAAGGAAGCCCCTCGATTGAAAAAAAAAAAAAAAAAAGAAAAAAAATAGATTTTGAAAACTTGAAATTGACCTAATTCTACTTAATATGATCAAAGCCACGTTATCTCGCGACTGTCTGTCGCAAGAGACTTTTAAGAACTTTACATTTTTCTAACTTTCAAGTGGTTCTCGAGACATCACGCGAAACGCAAAAGTTTTGAACTGCGCAGATTTTCCAGTTAAGTATACGGTATCGATAAATGAAAAAATAGCCACGCAGTAAGTAAGGAACACAATAAAAATCTTGATGGCAAGGATAAACAGTGCACTCAAAGTATCACTGACTCTGCATCATTCAAGATCATTAACTTGATAAAGTAATTGGCACTCACCGGTTCAGATTAAAAAAAAAAAAAAAAAAGAGCAAACCGAAGCTTCACCGATCTGGCGCTTGAATCAAATGACATTAAACCTCGTACGAAACAAAAAACGTCAAACTTAAGATGAAATCACGCGAGTGTATATGATAATTAATATCTCAATGTATCTGCGACAACAACGGCGTGTCTCGCTTTTTTGATATCCATAGTGTAGGTGTGTACCCTTATCGTCCGATATCATTGGCACCCAATGCCATATACGCCGGTGTTAACCAACCTTTTTTATGTATTTACACAGGTATATACTTGTACGAGTGAGTGAAACGCGCGCCCATACGCGCGGAATCGGTAGCAGATTGCGTCACACGTGCGCGCACTAACGTGCGCGGTGTGTCGATGAAAGCATTGGCATTAGCACCGCTGCAATATGAAAAGCCATTCAAGTTCAAGTGCGCGCACCCTTGAGTAACTATAATATACATATATAGTTGTTTGTGTATATATATATATATATATATACACGACTACACATTGTTGTAATGCACGTGACTCTAATAGATAGTCTAGTCGCGGGCTAATATGCAAATGCCGGTCGCGTCGGCTTGCATTACCGCACAATAAATAAAGGCCGGCTCGAATGAAAAGCTCGCTACATTAATTCTCGTGTACTCAAACTGATTTAAGTACCTAGAAAAAAAAAAAAAAAAAAAAAAAAAAAAAAAAATACTCTTCTAAATCTATGAATATGCCTGGTATTCTCTCGTTTGAGAAATTCGTGTATACCAAGTGTAGAGTGGTAATAAGTACAATAACTATCCCCGGCGTGTGTGTGTGTGTGTTTGTGTGTGTGTGCAAACTAAGTAAGAGTTTACATTTTGTACATATGCGTGTAATAAAAGAGCGAGTCGATGAATAGTGTAACATTTACGGCACAAATAATAAAATGTATTATTGGGAGGAGTAATAATTACTGCAGTGAAAGCGTATGGTATACATTTTTCACTCAAAGCATTAGTGTGAGATTGATCTTTTTTTTTTTTTTTCTCGGTGTTTGTCGTCCCAAATATCTTTGGAATGCGTGTTTTACGGGCACGATCTTTGAGCTACGATGTCGAAAGAAAGATAATGCGAAACCTGTGCAAACTCGTCTGTCTGTCCCTTCCGCCCCCCCCCCCCACACGTACCTTCCAATTTCAACCTCCATACCTGCTCCTCGGCTGGGTATGCTATTTCACTTTTATTTGGGAATTCATGTCACCGGCTATAAATTAAAATGTTACAATTTTTCTATACGTAGAAACTTTCGAAACCCATCCTTAAGAAATTTATCATGGCTATACCCTCGTAAATCGTATATACGTATTGTAACCGTTGTGAAATTATTTTTTTAATTTTCCCACCTATTTAACCGATGCAAAACGACACCGGTTGAACGAGATTCTCGTTAAAATATTCAATTTTGTTACAAATTGACTGAGCGATACACAGTGCCGTACAAGAGCCCTTTCATGTGTTAAAATAGGCCGAAAAACAATCCGCGATACCGTACGAGGTTCAAGGTTGTCGAATGATTTGTACGTCAAAGCCAAGAAAAAAAAAAGAAAGCGATTACATAAAAGAAAAACAGAAATACGATACAGAAATATGCGATAAAAGGAGCTCTCAGAAATACTTACACGGTGTGTGTGCGTGAAAATAAAATTAACTACAGCACCGAATCGAGATGTGTGTTTTAAGGCAATCCGTATGTTAAATAAAGAAGAATGTATATAGATGTATACTCCAATAAAAGGTCAATACACTATGTGAATGATAAAGAAAAAAAAAAAAAAAAAAGTCTATCTTCACGTAGATATGAGGCTAATTGAGTGCAACCCTTGATCGAACACAACCGAGTGCACGTATACACTGATTACTTTTTTTTTGTACGGTTTGCACAACGCGAATTCTCTGGGCATGCATTTTTGACAATTTCAATAAAATCTTCGTGATATTTAACATCTCTCTTTCTCTCTCTCCTGCTGCAGTAAAATCTGAAATGGCCCTCTCTTGCCTCAAGCCTTGAAAAAAAACTTTTTTTGCGCTGACCAAGCGACACAATTACTGCAATGTTACATGTTTATACGATACGGGTGCACGTGCGACCACGTTGGCAGCTGGAAGTATCGCGCAATCGAAAAATGTATCATCATCCGATTGTTAAGAGGCAAAAAATAATACAACAAACTCGTACACGGTATCTGCCTCAGCGCGAAAAGTACGTGTCTTTGTCGATGCGCTATTTTTTCCTCAATAACTGCTTTCGCTTGTTATTTTAACTGCACCAATGTGATGACAGTTACACTTGTAGTGTGATTAAACAAAATAATATTTTGCAAGTCCACGCGTCACTGCAAAAAAAAAAAACAAAAATCGATCGAGGGAACGAGGTACGACAGGGGAAGAAAAAAAAAAACTTATCACAATGAAAGCCGATATACTCGCTCAAGTACTTTCACGGGAAATCCACGTGCTTATCGTGACTTTTACAGTCTGGATTTTTATCGTCAACTACCGCTCATCGGGACGTTACATTGCACATGATTTAAAGCTACACGCCGCTCGTCACCGTCATAACTTTTAAAACTAAATTTTTTTTTTTTTTTTTTTTTCAAGTATGATTTAACTCGTGTTTTAATCACAATTTGTTTTTGGGATGATTACAGAAACTATAGAGGAACGCGCCGAAATACCAACAATATAATATTCGGATGATAAAATCACTCGGTTAAACATCGCAGATTTACGTGATGTACTCAAACGTTGAAAGGAATACCTTAAAAATGTATCGTAGGATCACATTTCCGAGAGAAAGAGAAGCCTACTAGGTACGCGTGTGAAACACCTATGCTCATGTGTGTGTGTGTATATTATACTTGCGAAAAGCTCGCCAAGGCCACAACAGTAGACATGCAAGTCGGAAATTTCGTCTATAACTTCAGTTGAGCTTACAGTACATAGGTTGTAGTAAAGGTATAAGCTCGGGTTGTTATTGATTGTCAAGGTCGAAGAAATGCTAACCCGGGTACTGTTGGCACTCTGAGCGTTATAATATTTCTTTTTTTTTTTTTTTTTTTTCCTTATGTATCAGAGTGCCGTGTAACACGATGCGATTGTTGCTAGATGCATCGATCGTTGATGAAAATGATGAAAGTAGATTGTTGTCGCTCACCTCAACACGTAGGCATCGACCGTGTCGTTCCGACTGAAGCTGATGATTTCACAGCGCACGATCTTCAGCAGATTTTCCCATTTTTGTCTGCAATCAAGCCAAGAGAAAACATTTTTGCATTAGTACGTTTCATGAAAGTGAATAAATCGCTCGTGTGCACAAACCACGTACAGTGGTGAAATCCCGTGACGGCACTTTTCCGCGTAATCGGTGTTACTTACAGGTACGTTTATAAAAATACGTCTAGTGATCGATTTCTTGGATCGAGTATAGACTGTTGCTGATTAACGATCATCACGCGCGATACCCGCAAAAAGAAAAGCAGATCTCTATCGGCGAGGGTGTATACTCTATTGTACATGGGAGATAAGATGCAAACTTATCAGAAACTATAATGATCGGTAAAACGAGAGGAACATCGGAATGAGCTCCTTGTGCCATTTTTTTTTTTTTTTTTTCCTTTCGTGTAAATTGTCGCGTGACCCGAGAAAAGTGCAAAAACATATTCATGCTGCAATCGACGTGGGCAAAGTGCGCCGCACAATGAAAAGGAAAAAAAAAGGCTCACACTGCGAATTATCGATCAGAGACGGCGAAGGTATTACATGAGGGATAAGAGGGAGACTTTGGCGTCGTGTGGGACATAAGAGAAAGAGAGCACGTTCATGCTTGTACTGTATAATATTATTTTGTCTTTGTATCGCGAGTCTCGACGATTAATCGTACTTTTGCGAGCATCGCGTTGTACTTGATACACGCGCTTTTCTTTATTTTTTCAAGCGGGAGCATCAAAAGTTGAAGAAAAGAAAAGAAGAAAAAAACGTCTGGATAATCATATCTTGGCGCCATGTCCGAACGGTTTGCGTCGGTTTTAAGCTGGCAGAGATAACGTGAAATTTGAGGAATACGGGTGAAAAATAATTTCGGAGGTATGTGCAATTTTAAAACCATTAGGCGAGAGTTACCGGCTGTTTGCTTTGCAGTATGTGATTATCGTGTTCTCCCGTCTTTAAATAGTATTATTATCTTGTGTGCCGCGGCATACTAAACGTATTCCCGGATTTTTTTCGTTTTTCACGACTGATTGAATTAATACGTTGTATACACATAATGATATATTAACGATTGGAGATGAAGGTATTTTTTTGGACACCAACGCACCGTAAAATTTTTCACCAGAACAATCAAGTGCATAACTACTCCTGTAAAATGCTTATTTAGTCCGTAAAACTCACGTTATCGTCAAACGATTGGGCTGGGTATAGATAAATTCTTTTTTCACCTGATATTAGCGGAAGAAAAAATTTTCCACGCGTTTACCACCGAGTTTCAAAGGAAAGAGAAAGAATTTTTTTTTTCTCCGAGCCATTTATGTTTATGGTTCATAAAAAAAATAAAATAAATAAATAAATATATACATTTTAATAAAAATACGTTCAGTCATGATATCTCAATAAATACCGGAAATTCTGAAGATGACAGAACTTTGAAACATTTTCTTTGATCACATTAACATTAATTTTATCATAAAAATTTTACAATAATTCCTACACAATAATCTTGGAAGAGTTATCAATTGGCATAGTTTAAACGATTTCATGGTTGTTTAAACAGTAAATTTTATTTCTTTCAGACTATATGTATAAGCATAGACTAAAAGAGACGATAAAAATGACAAGTAACGAAAAATGCCAACGTGTAATTTATTGCTTGTGTGGCCACTTTTTTTCATTAGGGAATAAAACGAGCAAACAAATAAACGTTTGTTCATACAATCTGCGTGTAAAAAACAAAGAAAATGATTTATTGGCGTGTAAGATACAGCGATCAGTAAGGATAAGCGTGAAAATTTTTGCCATTTTTATTTTTCGCCACTTAACTTATGCGCGACGTATCGTTAAAGTTATCTACGATCGAGCAAATTTTTTAAATAAGTAAAGGCAAAACGAAAAAACTGAACGTGTTGATAGAAACCACGTACAGTTCAAGAGCAAAATTCTATAAATAAGAAATCGATTAGCAATACCGGCATCAGCTGAAACGGAATTGACCCGCGCACCGCAGCATAATAATTATCATGATGCATGTATATACGTAAACCTATAGCTGTACATTATACTTGTATATATGCGTGGTCAGCGAACGGGGAAGTTAAGCGGCTGCGACAGCCTACGTCACGGCTCGTGGGAGCTATTTGGGGCGCGCGAGCAAACTAATACCTACACATTTAGAGGACGAGAAAAGTTGGTGGATGTATATTATTACGCGGGGAAGGGAAAAAAAATAATTTCGAGGAACGTTGAAAGAAAAATCACTCTGGGCTCGCATGATCACTCCCTGCTCGTGTGTTTTTTTTTTTTATTTATTTATTTATTTTTTTTTTTTCAAGCGACTTGGCGTAAAAGTAAATGTCGACAGGACCTCTGCAGCCTTGAAAAGCTCAAGAGTGGAAAAGCAAGGGATTTCGAGCCATTTTTTCTTTTTACCAATGTGCTAACGATACCTAGGGGTTTGGAAAGAAAATCGCTCGAGACTTTTGCATTTGCAGAGCAGAAAAAATACATGCATCCTTTAAAATTTCATTAAATAAGCTGCGCAATGTGTCATGCAAAAGCAAAACTTGTGAATCATGTTATGAATCACAAAACTCAATCATAATTTTATCCTCGTTGGCCAATGGTGTATTTCCCACTTGAGAATTTTGGCGTTGAGTGAAAAAGCAAAGTAGTCATATTTGCTTGTTTCCACAAATAACGCAATATTAAAACAAGTTGGAAAGAAAGTGTCGTCATTTTTATCAAAAATAACTTTTTTTTTTAATCATCAAATTTTCCCTGTCTAATTACGCTGCCAAGTATACATTTGAACTAGTTTGAAAGATCAGTTTGGCTAAAGTGAGGTACAGAAAAATTGACACGTGGACGTGACGCAAATAAATGAAGACTGTTTTCTTTGTCGGACACGTTTGGATATGCGAAAAATTCACTTAAATGCCGATGGAATGTATATTTTTCTTTCACTGCTGTTAAATATGAGATTGGCAACAAAATGTTTGAGAAATACTTTGTTACTTCCCTTGCAAGCTCAATTGTGATGAATAGTACCTCCGAGTTTAGTGTTTGCACACAAATATTTTGCGTACGTGCCAAAAGACTGAAAAGCGGTTAATTTACTCGAGAGAAATGTTCTACTTGCCGAGCAAGAAAATTTAACAAGATTCGATGAAGAAAATAATTTGGTAGCACCATTAAAGTTGTAAAAGATGGTTATCTGTTTCACAGATCTTTGATTCTCGCGTTGCAAGTTTTCAATATTTTTGTTTTTCCGAGACGCAATGGTAACCCCAGCGCTAAAAATGGCTCTTTAACGCTTCAAATGTACCGTAACGTTCGACGTGACAAACTTTGGGTGATTTTAAAAAAGCGAGCTCCGACGCTTCATCGATCACAGCTCCGGGAAACAAGTGCCCGGCCCTTCGCGAGGGCAAAAGACGATCCCAACGCGTGACGCACGTATATATCATCGAAACGGGGAAACCCCGAAATCGCGTATCCATGCCACAAAACGTGAAACTCCTCGCGCGTGGGGGGCCGCAAACGAACAACGACAAAAACAGCGCTTGAAACATGTGCGTCAAAGGGGTAGTTTTGGTACACATAACTTGATGATGGAAACAAACAAGTGGTACGGAGTAAGTATTAATCCCGAGAGCGGAGCAATCATCAGCCAGACACACGCGCGCGCGCACACACGCGGGGATTTCGGAGCTCACGCACATCATCAGAGAAAAAGCCAAGGTCAGTGCTGGTACGGGTTGGGAAAATAAAAAAAAAAGGACCCGAGCCCTTTGACGGAAGATGTAATCAAACGAGGAAACAGAAAAAAAAAAGAAAAAAAAAAAAAAAACATATATGGACAAATTGAGCGGGTGTCGTGTATTATAATATATGATGGATGAAGATTGGTGCCGCTTACCGGGGTATTTTTCTGAGGTCGCGTTGCTTGTCGCCGCCGTCACTGCTCGTGAACCAGATTTCCAGCAACTTCTCCACACCCTCGAAGAACTGCACGTCCTGCAGCTCGTTGTTCTTGCAGTCGTCCTCTGTCGCGCTGCAGCTACTGCCAATGGGCCCCTGCAGGGCTGTCCTTACCTCGGAGCTGCTCAGTGGCAACATCGTCGCAGTCCCTGTAGCCATCGACCGATGCAGCGAACTGACCGATGGGATGTGCTTCTCCCTCTCTCGCGCGCGCGTGAGTGTCCGTCTGCAGCGTCGTCGTCGTCGTCTCCCGGCGCTCCGTGTTACATATATACTCAGCCGGGGGACTCGCGGAGGTGGAGGGTGTGTGTATAGCCCCCTCACTCTCCAGCACTTATAATTGGTACACGAGTGAGAGAGAGATAACGTGTGGAGATGGGCACACGTGCAGATATTATGTATATCCAGGCCCCTGTCAAATAGTCGGCAACGTGTAAAACTGCAGCTGATGACGATGCTATATGGTCGGCTCGGGGGTGAGACGTTTGCCTGGTATTGAGTACACTTATAACGTATACACCCAGTATTTAAGGGCGTTGAAAATGATATGAGCCCTCTCGTTCCGCGGTGCACTTGTTGTCAGTTATCAGTGATGTTGACGTATCGATTGCCCACTGACGAGTGAGCTGTCGGATCGTTGCTTTATCGCTTTTTATACCTATACGTGTGTGGTAGCCGGAGGAACTAACGACTAAAATGACTGATGCGGGCGACCGCCACCACTGCACACTTGCTTTTCGTACTTGCCTTTTTTTTTATTATTATTATTATTATTATTATTCGTATGAGCTGTCAAATTATACACGATGACTTACATATACATAAATATAATTATATATATATATGCATACATGACATATCTTTTATTATTTGTCGGTTTATTCTTCGTCTGTTTCACTCTATTATATGATACATATATGATATAGCACACGATGAGTTTAATGTCGTCTGCACTACTGTCGTCTGTGTGTTTTGGTTATTTTCCGGATACATACTCTCTCTCTCTCTCTCTCTGCAGCGCGAGAGAGAGACGGAGGAAGATATGAAGATGAAGTTAAATATGCGCGCGCGCGGCGCCGCGATGTGCGCGTAACAAAAAAAGGGGTGGAGAGAAGTGCGGGGGGTGGCAGTATAATATGTTCGGTTGCCCTGCGCTGATTGGCTCCGCCATATCTTGGACTTGCGGGGGTAAAGACGAAAAGTTAAACGTGATAGGCTTATTTTTCAGTAAAAAAAAAAATAAAAATACATTTAATCGTATAGATCTTCATTTTTTTTTTTTCCAATGTGTTTATGAAATACGTTCTACTCTTTTTCAGTACTTTGCACTTTTTTTAGGACTCGAGTCCGTGGGCTGCAGAAAATAATATATATAGAGGCCCATAATTATAATTATATGTCACGCAGATCAACTCGGACGTTGGCCATAAATGTACCACATTTTTTATCGGTGGCGGTTTCGATTTCACTAAAATAAAAGCACCGACCGCCCTTATTGGTAGTACCACGTACTTACATCTATAATTTGCATTTAATGTATTATAAGCAATACTTACTAAACAAAATTGATTAATTGTCAAGATCGGGGAGACATATTCGTTATAATATATTATTTTATACCTACGTACCTCATTGCTGCTGCTCCGTTTTTTATCTCTTTCTTGGGCGAATTTGAATATAAATAATTCTGGAACAAAATATCTTTGTCATCTCTGTCTTTGGAGTGTAGAAATTATTCCATAATTTTTGTTACGAATATTTTAAGAGGCAAAATTTAATAGCAAAAAAAGGATGGTATATTTCGTGAAAGCATGGATAAAATACATGACATGACAATCGGAAAATGTTTGATTATTAACAATAATAAGGATAAATTTTACACTGACAATATTCATGTAAAACTGAACAAGTCTGTGACATTCCACCTAAAGTACAAATATTATTATCTCCTTATTTTATTCGTTTTAAAAGTAAGTATCTATAAATCAATTCAAAACCATACAGTACTTTTTTAATGAGTTATTATCAACTGAATAATAATTATTCGTCATTTTAAAGATGAGCATCATAAGACATTCTATGCTTAACAATTAGTGATAATTGTTTTTTTATACACTACTTTTAAATAAGACTGAACCAAAAAAATATATATGTATATATAATTCTATAAAAACCTTTCCAAATTGAAATCTATTTATTCAAAAATATTTACTCTCAAAAGGAATATTTATTTCAATTCATACTCATCTTTACTATTTTTTTCAACAATTAAAATGTTCTCATCTTGTATCATCAAAATTGCCTATTGACATTCACATACACTGTTACAGCTTGTTAGAATCTTTAGGCTTTGAGTTTGACAAAATTTTTTTTTCAACTCTTTAAAGATAGTTACATTAAGCACCACCACTAGTTTCTTTTGAATGATTTTCAACATGAGACAACTTTCAATTGATTTATAATACCTTTTATCACACGAAAATATTTTTGAAACACATCTCAACACATTTTATTAATGTATTTCGTTAAAAAAGTCACGTTACAGTTAATTGGCTCAACAATTAATACATTAGCATCTTAGATCCAAGTTTGTTCATTTCTCTCTAAATCGGACGAACTTGTATTCGTATACTTTTTAACGCGTCATGTTGTTGATTTTAACGCACTTAAATTTACAATAAGATGACACACGCTTTTTGACTGACACATTTTTTTTTTTTTTTTTTTCTCAGTCTTTTTATTTTACGCTTTTTATGGCTTATCTAATTACAAAGTTAACATTTGTAGCGATCGGTCAACTTGAATTTGAGATGGATTGTAGGACCTTGCCAGCAACGAATCATCATAAATCTTATTACTAAAAATATCAATGATAAAATTGAATAAAGGACGTGATGTTATTGTGCAACTTTAACAGCAATAAGCGATTAAAACACGAGCGAAAAATATTGAAATTTGCTTTCGATGTCTGCCTAAATAAATCGCGCGGAAATTTTCACGTAGGACTGATCAGCAAGATGGTTATGATCTTATTTAACGATTGATGTAACTTTAACAAAAAAATAAATGAAAGGTTTGAGGAACAGTGTTAGTTACTTACATAACAATTACGTTTACTCGCACGAGTGGCTGTTTTTATCGGTAACGAGTGCCACTTGATCACACGAATTCGTTAGGCGAGTAGTCATCATAAAGCATGAGTTACCACCATCGGCCACATACGAGTGTGTAACGTTTTTCGCACGTCTCGCGTAACATCCGTTTTTTACTTTAAGTGCAGTAAAGCCCAGATGCAAAGTATATCTTAATAGCGGCTTGGGGTGTAATTTTTGCACCAGCTTAACATCGCCGACTAAATCGAAGATATTGAAAAAAAAAATTTTTTTCTTTACATTACAACTAATGTTAATTAAAAAATTGCCTTTTGTTTTTATTATTAGTACTTACTAGAATACAAGTTAGTTTACTTTATTATTCAAGCTTTATTACATACATCACGAATGTTTTTAGTCGGAATATTAAATACACATTAATTTGCGCTTTTTTTCCTCATTTTTACGAGAACAAAATTATATACTTTGCGTTATTAATTTTATATTAACTAGATTTTTCTTTGCAATATAATGTTTCGTTATAAAATGTTACTGTATATGCATGACGCTGTGATTAATCTTCATTTTTACCATTTATATTGATTCTGCTAGCAGTGTATACTTTTAATTTCTTTCACATTCTTAATTTTACATCGATATTATTAATAAAATAAGTAACATTACTTAAAAAACATCAATTATAAAACCATTATGAAACCCATTTACATGCTACGCTTAACGTAAGACGGAAAGAACAGTACGCGTTACACATATTTTATTCCTGATCTATAGGACATTTGAGGCGAAATTCGGGTTATCGTCAACGCAAAGAAAAAATATTCGAGTGAGTGTATCGCTTTGTTTTTTTTCTCTTACGAGTGCTATTTTACTTCTTATTGCTCTGTAGAATACCACGAGCACATTAAAGAATGCAAAGCGTTACAAAGAATATGTACTTGCTTTGTTGGGAAACGTTAATGGATGAGCGAAATGTTATTAACGAATAACTCAAAAATAGTTTAGGGAAAAAATACGATAGTAGTTGAATAATTTTTGAGAACAGAATAATAAATAGTAAGTAATGAAAACAATAATAAGGAAACGATTGACGTAAATAAACTCAGTATACTTAATTGAAACAAATATTTATTATTTGATAAATATAGCGAGATAATTTCTAAATTTAAAGAAGAATTTCAGTGAAATATAAATAATACACAAAAAAAATAATTATCCAAATTATAACTAATTTTGAATTTTAATGCCATTGAAAAATAAGCAAGTACCTTGGAAAAGTAGTTTACACGCGTCGAATATAAATATCTTGGCATAATATTTACTTGTGTTACTTATATCTTTGAAATATCCATAGGACACAAACCTGAAGTATTAGTCTGTGTGGTGGTTAATGATGGAACGACGGGGCTTACTATATTTGGCGGAATCGCCGGTTTTATAAATCTATCCGATGCACGTCTGCTGGATGGCGCTATAATATGGACCTGAAAATTAATTTTAAGCAATGACTGTGTACATTCAATGTTATTTTTCTTTATCGCATACACCACTTTATACTTACTCCTGAAGGGGGGGAGGAGCTTGCAAATGGCAAATTTGTTGTGGGCTGTCCGCATGCATAACAACGATTAACATTTAGATTCTCTCGAGACGACGAACCTATCATAATATTACTTAAGGATTATTTCCGTCATACAAGTATTTCGAGTGTAATATTTTGTATTGCACTATAATACGTTACCAGGACTGAGGGGTCTAGAACAACTAGGCGAGGGTTGATAGGGCACTGGACTTGAAACAGCTCTTCCCCTAATGCTACCACCAGACATCACAGACTCATTATAATGGCGTTCCTCTTCCATCTCCAAGCTGTAAATAATATTTTGTTTACAGGAATAGCATATTACACTAAATTTTTAATATTTACCTTGACTCTGATTCAGACAAGTGTCTACAAAGTGCCTCGCGACGTTCAACTTCAAGTTGAAGTTTTCTCTGTAACCTAAGATTTTCCTCGCGAATTTGCTTTTCTTCATTGACAAACCGTTGCACTTTTTCTGAATCTGAAAAAGTATTAAAAATATTTAAATATTGCGATGGATTTTTCGTACTTTGCAAATACAAAATAAACTACGTACTTTCTTGTTGAGATATCAAAAGGTGGCGCCTCAATCTGGCAACTTCACTTCTCAGATTTTGAATATGTGTGCTGAGATTGACAGCAGTATCACCATTGTTAAGGTCTCTTGGCGAGGTAGGGTCTGACACAGGCTGATCCAGCTTAATTTGGAGGGATCTCTTTTCAGCTTCTAGTTTATCCATTCTTTTCCATAGCTTGTTAACCAGAGCTTCCTGCTCTTGTTCCAAAGTATTTTCCAGTTCAACTTTTTCTCTTCTCAGCTGTTCTAAATTGCTCTGTTTGGCCAAGGTCTCTGCTTCCAACTTTTCGATTTTTCTCATCAGTTTATTCACAAGACACTCCTGTTCTTGCTCCAGAGTTTGTTCAAGGCGACACTTTTCCTGACGCAGCTGATTTAATTTTCTTGACAGATCGTTTGTCAAACACTCTTCCTCCTGCTCATAGTGATGAGCCAGAGTTTCTTTTTCTTTTTTGAGCGCTTGGATTTTTTTGAGCAATGTGTTGCTAATAAACTCTTCCTCTTGCTCAGCCTTGGCTTGCTAAAATTTGATTGATCGGTCATCAAATATATTTGTAACTTTTAAACAGTTAAAATTACGCAAAATACCCATTGAACAAGAGATTTAAGATATATCTGAATTTGTTACAATGATGATACCATGCAAAAAAATATTAATTCTCTGGTACATCAATGTAAAGTTTCAACTTAAGTTGTAAAAATAATCATCTGCTCAAGATAAAAGACTTGTATCATTTACGTCGTGGCAACATGTTCTCATAATTTTTGACATTTCTATCTTAAAAGCTTGTGAAGTTGTGCAAACTGTAAGCATACAAGTTCACAAGACCAAAATATTAGCTCATATCAATCAAAATGTCCAAATTTTTTTTTAAGGGTTTTGAAAACAAGGGGAAAAAACTGCAAAGTTCCTGTGCCGATGCAAGATCAAATACCAATCAACAGTGACAAAAGAGATATTCATGTGTAGGGAAAAGAAAACATGAAAAAATGACCTGTTAAGTTAAGGAATGTCTAGAAAGGAGGTGGTAAATAAAAAAGTGGAAATCGAAGATGGGTCAAGTAAGCCTGAACCAGCCAAGGAGTGCGAGACTCACGATGATGACAGAAGCCTGGCGGAGGCTGCGGTTCTCCTCCTGAAGGGCCTTGACGCGCAACTTGTAAGTTTCAAGCTCGACCTTGAGCACGCGGTTGTGCTGCTGCAAGGACTCGATGCGCTTCTGGAGCTGCTCGCGGGTGACCGGCGACGGGGGCATCATGATCGGGCCGCCGTCGATCGAGCTTGAGTCGCTCTCGGACGCGCTGTCCCGGTCGGCCATGTTCGCTCTATCGTCCGTGATTGAGGCGTATCAGAACTCAGGTGGGTCGAAGGGCGTGCTCCAAGCTACCAAGAAGCTAGGAACTTCTACACTCTTCGCGAAGACGATGATTGCTCTCTTGATCCCGAGCGTCTGAAGAGTCTCGCTTGGCAGATTCTCAGTTCGGGGGTTAGCGCGTGGTGAGAGCCGGCTTAGGCCGCAGCTGCTGGACGAGTATACGCGTATGGGTGTCTGCTGTTGCTCCTAATACCGATGCTCGGTAATATCTCGGTCTGAGAGTCTCGGAGCAGTTGAAGGCTAGAACTGCTAGAAGTCGATGGTCCAGGCGAGCAGCGCAGATATCACTTATATATTATACGCAGAAACCCTTGAGCAAACATGTGCACAATATCTTTCTTTCTTTCTTTCTCTGTGGGCGACGCGATTATATATCTTCTCTCTTCGTGAAACGATCGTCAAATCAGCTGTTTGATTCGCTCCCTTATTTCAAGTACATTTGTTCGTCCCCGTCGCTCGGAATTTGGAACAGCTCCGAGACCCTCCCCCGAGTGTGCTCCGAAAATCTTGGAGCTCTGCGACTATAGCAAAGTAGCAACTCTTGCAAGCCGTTTCGAATGGTTCGATTCTAGACCAACGGCATGGGCGAACAAATCTAATAAAAAACAGCTCCGTTTTTATGTGCGTTTCAAATTAAAAAATTTTTTTTAATCCATACTCTGGATGCTGCGAAAAATTAATCATGAATTTTAACTGAATAGATTTGTTCGGATATTGTACTGTAACGGAGACTTGAGTTTGCACGGACTAAAACCGTTGACACGATTTTGGAGGCTGAGCCGAGCTGAAATTGTAATTATAATTGATGATGGCTTTTAATTTAAAAAATCCAAGTACCTTCTTATGTTAACAATTTATCATATGGGTCCATGATGGATTTAATGCTTACAGTTACCACCGAAACAGTAAGAATTAACGTGTAAGCTCCGAGGAATGGAGAGAGCAATCTTATCGCGGTAAAATTATTGCTCCACAAATATAAAAAATGTAAAAGACATGAGTCGTTTCATATCAGAGTTAAATGTGTGTATCTACGGTTATGATACATAATATACTTGCGTATACACATTCTTAAATAAATGCAATGAAACGTTATAGTGTAATTTCAATTTTAAACATACATAGCCCGCGACTGAGCCACAAAAAACAAACGAGGTGTGGCAATTAATCAACCCTCCCGGGGAACTTTTGTTTTATCTACCCTCTCAAGCGGAAAAAGAGTAGCGAATCACTTTAACTATTAAAATCAATAATAATTGGGACAGTAATGGTAAGAACGACTCATGATAAATTGGTAATATCTCTTTCTTTTATTATATTGTATAAATTAATTTTATGTAATAATACGCAAAAATTAAAAGTAAAAATAATTTGTTACAAAAACAATGTATTATCCTATGTTACGTGCTTGCGACACTAACTCGTATTTTTATTTATTAACACATCGTTAAATTCTCCTCTTTTTTTTTCACTTGCATCTTCTCGGTCTTTAATTAGTCTGTTAAAATGTGGGCCTTTGATTTTAGTAATTAAAAATCAATTATTCATGTGACTTTTTGTTATTTAACAATCGATACAGGCTAAATCGACAGCACGACGCAATCGAAAAGTTAAGAAAAAAATTATATGTCCTATCTAGTTCATCTAATTAAACAATGGAAAAATTACACCCCGACCTATAAAATGACTCGCTTTGTGCACTTTTTCACTCTTTGGAGCAGGGAGTCAGGTAAACAATGATACGCTGCACAAGCGTCCTCAAGGCGAAGAGCCTCGGCTATGGTCGTAAAATGCAAAACTTTGTGATGAAAAAAAAAAAAAAAAAAAAAAGTCATAGTAACAAGTTTACAATTGCAACATATGTCGAAAAATAATTTTATCAAACAATAAATGCATGGCTGGGTGTAAAACTAAGCTGATAAAGTTAATGAAAATGGAACAACACGATGTAACGGGTTTATAAGGATTTCCTTCACTCACTCGCAACAGCAATCTAAGACTCACGAAAATCTGCAAATCTTGTGATTGTACGTCGTATCATTATTTAAGAGATCCTACTTAACAGTCTATTTTAACGTAGTTTATGCGAGTTATACATCGATTTTCATTTAATTTGTTAGATAAGTATTGCAATGAACCACGGTTAGTTGATTTACGAGAGGATCAGCACACACTGTGTGACTTTAAATCTTTATTACTTTTTTAAATTATTTAATATAACCTGTATCGCTCTAAAAATTCATGTGGATTTAACGCCTGTCCGTCAGAAGGCAACCAGCTCTTCACATGCTTAAAAAACCTACGGGATCAAGACCAGCTCTCCTCTTAAAGCATGGCTTTAAACCACAAATTTTTCTAGCAAATGTCACCCGAGGCAATACTTTGATCGTCGTTATGTTCTTTCGTTTTTGATGATGTTAGCGTTTTCCATGTCTAACGAAAGACGCTCATTCTTTTCGAATGAACGTTCGACCCCTAAAAAAAATAATCGATTCAGTTAATTTTTTGTTTAACTGATTATTTTATATTACTTGTTTGATATACTTACGTAATTGTCTTTTTCTCCTGATTTTTCGGTTGAGAGCGAGCTCTGTTTAATACTTTGAGAAAATCAGAAGTTTTGGTGCGCATCCGTGAGTGGATGTAGACTTTACTACACTTTATGTGGTAGTGTAGATAATGTCTAAACATGTGGATAAGGTCGATTGTATTGCTACGCGCATTTTTGTTTGTATGTCTTGGAAACAAAACTATAAAAGTAAATTCAAACATAAAATACAGAAAATTTATAATTCAATAAATTGGGTAAATAAATGACAATTACCAAACGTTATAAAACCAACACAGTCGCTCACAGTTATGGCAGCATCTTGCAATTCTAGAGGTGGTTCACGGTGACTAAATAATACTTGAGGTGCTGTGTGACTTGCTTTCCTTCCTTCTTTCAGTTCTTGCAAGAACATTTTACCAATCACCATATCATCAACATCTTTAAATATTGTACTAAATATTACAGTGACTCGGTCACTTTTTGCTTCAACATATCTAAAATTGTATTAGAAATAAAAATACATGTGTTTCACAGAAATACATTAGAACTCGTGCGTTAAGTCATACTAACATAATTTCTTGATCTCTGTATTCAATTATGGCTTTTTGTGGATTTTTACTAGTATCTTCTTGTGATTCACTTATTTTTTCTTGGTGATCAAAGTATTTTTCAAATATACTAGCAAAACAATGCCTTTTTAGTAGTCCAATTTTTTTCACTAAGCCTTCCCAATCTTGAGGTAAATTTTCGAGGTCAATCATAACAGTAACACTGTAACCTGTAAGGAAATAAAATTTTGTATTATATGTTTTAAACTACAATTAAATACAAGGTTTGGATTTGATACCTGTTTCCGGTTCCACAAGATAAGATCCATATTCTCTTTTCAGTAATTCATCAGCTCCATGTTCTTGTAGTTGCTTATAAAACTTAAGCATCGCACTTACCTACAAAATTGATTTTTGACATTCAATATTTTTACATGCATAATTTATAAATTACCATCAAAATACAATACTGACTCTGATTTTTGATTTGTCCTTGCTTAGATTAGAAATGTGAAACAAAACGCCATCAAAGTCTGCTACCTTCATGTCTGTTGATTCGAGTTTCCCTCTAAAAAAAAAAAAAAAAAAAAAATTATTAGAAACAGTTAAAAGTAAAATCAAACAAACAACAATAAATTAATAAATAGATTACTAGGTCACAAAAAGTCATTAAGAGAAGGAATAAAATTTTTTTTTCAAGATACCTAGTTGTAAAAAAAAAAAAAACAAAAAGGTATAGAAAGAAAAAAAATCCAAAACAAGGAGGTGGATGGCATAGTATGACTGGAATGTGAATGTTGTCATTCTTCAAAGTTCTCAATGAGCAAGTCCTTCAGCTACAACCAGAACCAGCCAGAACTTTTGGTTCACTATTTGTAAATGTTTAGTTGAGCCATTATCTATCACAAACAGTTAAAAATTATCAATAAAAAAAATTGGTTCAGAATTCTCAACAGCTTTTAATACGATTTTCATCATAATTATGATAAAAACTAAGATAAATTCGAGAGCTCTGTATGAGTCATCATTGAGATCATGTAAGAACAAATATTGAAAACAGCTTCACATCGTAGTCATAGTTATCTTGGGTGATAAATTGAGTCAATGTATATAAAGTAGGTGTGTTAATATATAATACAACTATCACGTTGTGCCAAAGAATAAGGTTAGACACCGCCCCCCGGAACGTGTACACACAACTTGTACGCGTATACTCTCTAATTATGTATAAAAAATAATAACACGCCTGATAAAAAAAAAAAATAAATAAGAGTACACTCGTGAGAATAGCGTGAGTACTCGAGTGTTTCGAAATGTATTGCTGTGGGAGAAAATGCACAGTCGCACAAACAAAAAAAGGCAAAGGATCATCGAGAGAAAAAAGGAAGCGTACACACAGAGATGATTGACTCACCCGGCTAGTGCATTTTTTATTTTGTTTGTCAGAGTCTCCTCGATTATCCTGTTATTAATCTCGAGCAGAATCATAGTTGGCTAACGGGGTTGGCTTTAAGCCTCACACACTCTTTGAAGTAGTAAACTGTAAAGAGGACGACCTCGCGTAGAAGCGAAGCGTTGTATACACTTGAAAAATTGACAGGACGATCCAATTGAACGAACTAATATGAAAAACTTGTGTACATAATACACAAGCTAGGCGAAAAATCGATGTGGAAAATCAATCGTTACAATAACCAGCAAGCCATCATAGGATCAACACATCAACCACGATTTGCAATCATTGCCCACGAGTGGGAAAACTGAACGATTAACAAGACTGTATTGATAACGCAGAGCCACGCACACTACTGACACTGCGGATGCATATATATGCAGCAGCAGTATATATAGCACACAAGCACAAGCGCCAGTCATATCGCACTATATGTATATACATACACACATAGGTGTACCTATATTTAATGTGTTCATCTTAAGCTCTCTCTCGCGGTGATTTTCGTCTTTCGTTATTTTTGATCTCAATTTTTATGAATATTCTCGATTCTCGCAGATTCTTACCCTTTTTATAATATTGCATATGGGCTGTATAAGCAGATGTTTTACGTATAAGTATGTATATGTACAATTTTGTTATTCCTCCCAGCAAACACAGTTTATCAAGAATTCTGAAAGATGTTTTTATAGATATCTGTCAGGAGCGTCAAGAGTACTCGGAAAGAGAGCAAAAATTACGATTGCAAAATAGTATGTAACGTGAGTAAGTACTTATATTTCAAAAGTAACAGCAAGCGCGCATCGTCCAATAACCCAATCAGATCAGAGAGTTGCGGCTATAAGATTGTCGTGAGCCATCGCACGGGGGGTGGGGGGCACTGCACACTTGATTATCATTGATGAAATTTTCGTGTAGAGACCTTACTGCAGACCAAGGAACGATGAAAACAACAACGATGGCTGAGCAGGAGCAGAAGATTCATGAAAAAGATGTAGAAAAGAAAAATATTTATAGTTGGAAGGGTGGACCTATGGGCTTGGGTAAGAGGCTAATAATATTCATGTTATAAAAAATATGATGATCCACTTTAAATGTGGAAATCGACACAATTATTAAAACATTTTTTTTTGCAAATTACTTAGAATTTTTTTTCATGCATTTAAAAATAACATGTATTGAAATATTTTTACTTTCAGGTGATCCAGATGATGAGCATTTGAGGAAAGTTGAAAAAGACGTTCTCATAGCAAAGATGGTAAGGGACAGAACGAGAGAGGAGAAATGTATACCAGAAGTAGAAGGTACTCTTTAAAGTTACCAAAATTAACTTTTTCTTTTTTCAATTCTTTCAAAAAATGTTTTCTCTAGAATTTAATAAGTGTTGCAAAAGTTCCAAGTACATGATGGTAGTAAAATGCAGAAAAGAAAATTCAGAGCTCAAGAAGTGTTTAGAGCATTGGTACAAAGATGAGCAATTATGGGAAGAATGCAGAATACAGTATCTAAAAGATAGATCAGAATTCAGAAGAACTGGAGTACCCAAGAAAATACGAGAATTTCAGGCTCGTTATAAAAGTAATATGTAATTATATTTTACATGTAAGATAGTAGGTTATTAAGTTTGTTGTATAAATATATAAATACAGATTTGTGAGAACTACTAAGAATTGCATATTTTGTTATCATACTAAAAAATGTACAAAAATTTTACATTTGTTAATAAATACTAGTTTACAGGTATACATTTACATATATGTATTAGTGTGAAATATTACTTTTTTTAGTTATCAAAAATTTCTTTGCATAAAACATAATTAAATAATATTATGACGAATAATCGTCTTCATTAGACTCATCAGCAGTTTCTTGCAATATAGCACTCGACTCATCTTGATTGAATTTCCATCTTTTCCATAAAATTTCTCGTACTGTAAACTGAGACAGTACATCTGGAGAAGCTGAAACTGTATCAGTAGATACTGTTGTTGGCCACAAAACTTGAGCAAATAACACTTCCTTGAACGAATAATAATTTTCATGCAATTTTTAAAAGATGGGAATAATTTTCTACATACGATTTGCTTACTTTTCCAACAGCTTCAGCTAATCTTTCTAAACCAATAAACTTATTCCATGTAATATTTCTAGCTACTTTACTTTCAATTCTTTTAAATGTGACTGCATCCAAGACATCAATTATTACAATGTATGAAGAATGGTAAAATGGTGGTCCTTCTTTGTAGAGTACTAAAAAAAAAAATACATAAAATAATTTCGATTCAAGAAAAAAATTTATCTGAAAATATTTACCGAAATCTCCGCCATATTTTAAACCGGGTTTCACAACCCATCCTTTGCTACGAAAATAATGGTACGTAACATATTTTTGCAAGAAATTTTTTTGATCTTTACAAAAACAGTTCCACACTTCTTTGATGCTTAGATATTTTCCATCAAAATCCACAACTCTTAAGCATCCTAGACCATACATTAAGAAAAAAGTTTCTTCAAATGTAAGATGCAAAGTTTCTCTCACTGGAAATTTTTCATCTTTCACTTGTGGTTTAATGTCTACTAAATAATCATCAGTTTCCGAGTCACTGTCTGGTAAAACCAAAACTTTTTCTTGTAACTCTGAACTATTCTTATTGTAATTATCATTGCTTTCACTTTTGCCAAAAAATTCATCCTTATCAAAATCACTATTTATGTTAAAACTTTCATTTGATATCTCACAAATATCTTCTTCTTCATTAGAATCAAGAACAACTTCATCAATTTCCATATCTGTTTGATTGTTTTGTCCATTGGTTTGATTATTGTGTTCACTCTTTTGTTTACTACTATTTAAGATTTCAACATTACTTGATAATTTTTCTAATATCACTTTGTTACTTTCAGCTTCAGGAACTGACACCGATTCAGTATCACAACTACTATTTAAAGTTTCCTGTATATCATTTATTTCACTAGATTTTTCTTCTGCATTTTGAATTTCATCTAAAAAAAGTATTTAAAAATTACAATTTCAATTATCATTCACGATCACTAATAAATTATGAATACTTTTAGAACTAAGCCTATACTTAGGCACTGGTTTTGCAAAACAAAAATATAAAATAAAGTTTCATCATACCTTTACTGGACTGGCTATTATCATTTTTAATGTCATCATCGAAAAACGTCTCTTTGCTGAGCTTTTGTACTTCATTGATCCATTCTTCTCGGCGCTCCCACTGCCTCTTACGAATTATAGGTGGAGCACCATAGTTTATCCTACCAAATTTAGGATGACTCTTGGACAGTGATCCTTTGCCAAAGTATCCCTGACAAATAATAAAAATAAAAACATTACTATATCAATATGACAGTGATCTGTTACACTTGTAGCTCAGCTAAATCATGTTGAAGATACTAACCATTTTATAAACAATTTCCATCTCTGTGGGATCGGCAATGCACGATCCCAAATACGTCAAAGTAGCATGGAACTGTGTTAATTCACCCTTGCTGCCGAAAACTAATGGCAAAGACGACTTCAATTCGGACCTCGCACGTTTTTTTCTCTTTGGTTCTTTCAACTCCATTGAAAATATGTTTTATATATCTTAGTTGCAGATGAATTTGATCACAAAACCATAACAGTTCATTTGATTTTCGTTATATATTTATAGGTATACATTTACAATAAACAGTTTCTAGTAATCATACACATGTCATGTCCTGCCTAAAAAAACATCAAACACTGTCGTGTCAAGAACTATCGTTGCAATTGCTGCAAAACTTGATTTCACAACTGATAAGGTAAGGTAAGAGAGTACCTACCGGTAGGATTAGGATACAAGAAACAACACGCTCCTAATTTTCTTATCAGAAAACTACTGTTCCGTGGGAAAGAGATAGGTATACATATATAAACAGCAGAATTGTATATACATATATATGTGTTTATCGGATCTCTGCGGATAAATACTCTACTGAATTTATTAACAGGCATTGATAATACAAATTCCAGCTATATCAACTATCCACTTTTAAAATATATGTTTGTAAATCACACAATAACAGACTCCACACAGCAATGCAAATTATACACACAAATGTAGCACACAGCAGTGCAGCTGCAGTCAAGTCAACTGAGTCAGTCAACTCAACTCAACAGACAGCGAGTTTTATAAGAGTCTGCAGTGTGTTTTTACCTATTTCCAGTGTAGGGTACCTAAAAATAAATGCAGCTATTTATTAGGTACCAATTTAGTATTAAAAATATACAGCACCTCCGCAAAAGTGCACATTTCGTCTATTCGTCAAGTTTTTATTTAATTTCGTAACTTTTGTTGAGTTGAGAGTCGTCAGGGAAAGACTCTATTAGTACTCGAATACGTGTGGGAGTGAAAAAAAAGTACCTAAACCCAAGGGCTTACCTTGTGTGTAACTGCTGTTAGTGTTGTTAAAAAAAAAGGAGCAAAGCTTGCACTAGCAAGAAAAATACAGATCAACAAAGTGCCGAACTCTTTCTTTGACGATCTTTTAATATGTAAATAAAGTATTATTTCGACAGCACTTAGATACGAGTGATTGATGTTGCACAAAAGCGAGGACGATAAATTTATTAATATGGCATCGACGAATATTGTTTGCATCTCAGTATTCTGGAAAGTTGGAAAGTTAGCTGTCACACATTGGGGATAAAGAAGCGTGAACTGGCTACTTATATGCCATACGTGTTTTATTTAACACACAACGAAACAAAAAAGGAAGATAGGTAAGTACAGTTGATTGTTGATGGCTATGATGTAATTGTAACAGCTACTGTTACTTATCATGATACAGCAGACATAGGGCATATGTATTGTGTTAACGCGTATATTACATACATACATACAGACAGACACATTTTATCATTATCACTCTATGACGATATTACTTGTTTGTGCACTTGTGCTGCGAGTGCAGCTGTACTCAATTTGCACTCAATATATTTGTTCGAGGCTTTAGCTTGGAGGAGCTCCTCTAGGACCTCTAAGACCTCTAAATCTATGTATAGCTAGTTTTTCTATTATTGAAATGAGTACCTAGGCTACCTACTTATTTACCATTTCGGTGTTTAAGCACCTCCGACTCCACAGAGCTAGCTTCGAACAATCTATTGCATCCCAGATAACCGATGGAGTCTAGTTAAAATTAAAAATTTTTATGAAAAAAAAAAAAAAAAAACCAGGTTCTTCATTAGTGTAAAATTAATAAAAGGGTTCAGATTCATAATTTTTACGGAATTTATAAGGAATAAAAAATACAGATATACAAAATTCATGAATAGTTTACAGTAAAAAATAAAAAAAAATATAGGTGGGACAACTGTCTAATCATTTAAATTAATATAGCAGATTTTTTTATGAATAAAGACTTCAGTCTTTCCCTCGTATACGTTATTTTTTTTGAATAACTTCCAATCTGACTAGACAAAAGTAGAGGTACGCGCGGCGCGCGGATGTGTTGAGCAATATAAAATACAATGACGTTAAAAGTTCAGATAACACGACTTTTGAAAACGTGCACCCGCTTAGCTGGATTACTATGTAAATATTTAACTATCTCGATAAACGAGATGCGACGTTTTTTTTATATCCAGTTGGAAACAAAAAATAGCATGAAATGAAATTTTTTAGTCTCATAAATTTGTGCTTCACGTGCTTACGCATAATGTTAAAATTAAATTGATTCACGATCCTGCAAAAAGTGCAATTACACATCTTTATTTCTAATTGACATTAAATAATATGATGATTGCTTCCGTTTTTACGAAACACGAATTTATTAAAACTTAATGATGCATCTAATTTATTATATTTGTGATTTAGAAAAAAAGTTACTCAAAATTCATGATAATGAGTAAACTATACATATTTCGGAAATTAGTTTTTAGTTACACAAGTAAATGTTCAATGGTTGCAACGATTTTTTTTAGTGTTATTTTATATTGAAATCGAAATTTTGTATTTCGCGAGTAAAAAAAAAAATACGCGTAGTGCACATTTGAACAGTACATTTAATTAACAAGATCAAACTAGTTTTTACTGGCACTTTTTATTCGTTCAGTGACTTGCTGCCGTGAACAAGAGAATAATTTTACGATTCATCATTACAATAGAATGAAGTGAGTGACCGACCTTATTTTACTAGCACATCTTATTACTAAAAAATTCTGGATGTTTTTATGTTTCGATCTATTAATCAATTAATTTTTTTTTTTTTTTTGCTATCTCGCTCAATACTGCAGAATAATAAAACACAAATCTGAACAAAATACTTTACGCAATTGTAATACTTATATTTTAAGCTTGTCAACACTTAATCTTCGAATCTCTTTTTTTCTTTTCAGATATACTAATTGTATAATTTCGACCGTGCCATTAGGCATTTTTCAACATTTGTGGAAATCCGAGACAGATCGAAAGTAACAAAGTTTTTAACGCGTAACTTTTATTGGCTTCTCTCGTACCGCGCCCGGAAAATATAATTTTCCCTTCTCGCAGCGAGGCAAATGTATTTTTTTTTTCTCTCTCTTTGTATTTCCACATTCACAAAAATAACAAATGCAGTGCCTGAGTCAGAGACATTACCAATTTGTCTATCGCCTCGCAGCGATAAGACGACAATTGAACTATTTCCACATTCTAATGATATTCTAACACCAGTCGAGTGTTTTCAGATAGCAAGCGTAGACGAAAAACTTATATTTCATCGCCTCCAACTGTCGCGACACGAGAAATTATCAATTCGTGTGTGAATAACACACGACTAACACATGTATACACTACTGTAGAAAGAAAGCATATATAACAACAACCCTGTTCAGAACTGTTGTTTTTGGAGTTAAGCACAGATAAGTAAGGTCGAAAATTTAAAATTTTTTTATTTTCAGGCGGCTGCATCAGTGCAGTCGGTCGGAGCTCCGTCGACCATGGAACAGATGATCGCTTTAAGTACGCATAACCCGCTCTCTTTGCTGATGGTTAATTTGGGGATGATGTCGTGGAACGACAGTTGCGGCGAAGAAAACTGTTCCGGACACGGCGAGTGCCACAACGGCACCTGCCTCTGCGAGGTATATACCGATGATGCTCAAACTCTTTCTCTCTCTCTCTCTCTCTGCGCCGTTTCGATTGATTTGAAATTTGTATAGACCAAAGAAGAAATTATTCAAAATCACGTAAATCCGATTGTCGTATAAAAGTATCGTCCGTTATTTTGTACTGCGCAACGTTTTTTGCCCCACCATACGTCACCGCGAGCCTATATATCGGCCAGGTTTTTATCGCGGACGCTCAAATGTTCGTGTCGCTGATGATTGATGCCACTCGCGAGTGCACTTGCACCGCAATGTGTGTCATGAAAAATTCAAAGCACGTGGTTTATCACGAATTAAGAACGTTTACAAACACTCTCGAGAGAGGCGTGTGACCATCTCGATCGATCTTCTTCTCTGATTTCTCAATCTTTCGACGCTTTACTCTCGAGAGCGTAAAAAACTTTACCGGTCTAATATACGCGATCGGTATACGTGGTATCACATTATTTTTAACTGGCGTTTGAAAATCTATACACAAACTCGAGAAATTCAGCGTTGTAAATAAAACATTATGTAACAACATGAGAAAAATGTCTCACAAAACATGATTATGGCATCCGAGAGAGTTGTACGATATAACAAGTACATGTACCCATGCAGATCGAGTTCGACGGGTCGCGCTGTCACGCGCCAAATTTCAGCTACTACGTAGCCTTCGCCAGCATGTTCTTCATCCTGGCGTTCATCTGTCTCGTTCAGCTGATCATGTGTATCATAGCCGAGTGGAAGAGGATGAAGACACCTTCGTTCCTCAGTGCCTGTCGTGTCACCACCCAGAAGGTCCTCTACTTCGTCGTCTTTCTCGCTTCGCTCATCCGCGCTGCTTACTTCACTTCCGCGGTGAGTTTCACTTTTTTTTTTTTTTTTTTTTTTTTTTTTTTTTTTTTTTTTCAACGTTATATACTATTTACGCATAAATCGTACAATGTACTTTTTCACCGCAGCAGACCACGTACAAGCCCGGCTGGTCCAGAAGCTTGGACTCCGCGTACTATCCCCTGGTGACGAGCGGCTTTTCCTGTATCGTTTGCTTCTGGGCCGAAAAGTTCCACCTGCGAGACGTGTGCACGGAAAAACCACAGTTTCTCTCAAAGTCGTTCCTCGCCTTTGTCGTCTACAACTTCCTGACCTACTCCCTTTTGGTGATCGAGCTCGCGACCGCGTTTATGTTCGATCCAAAGGACCAGGTGAGCTCATTTTTTGAGGATACCCTCGTACCCTCGAAAATCCCGTTCATGTGATTAATTGATCCACAGAATCAGTTCACGCAAATTTTCAACGGCTGCTACGCTGTGCTGCTCTTCATCGTTCTCATCTTCTTCATCATCTACGGAGTCGAGGTGTTTTTTAAGGTAAGGCCACCTGTCATCTACAAACATGTAAAAAAAATTAAAAGATATGCATTGAAAAAAATTTTTTTTTCTTTTTTCGTGGTGCAGGTTCGTGGTAGTTTTATAGGCGACAGCAAAGTGATTTCGATCACAACGAGTAAGAGGACTCCCGATGATCCTTGCGCAACAGGGGAAGAAGAGGATGACGCGACAACAGCAAAGTTATTCCAGTGCTCGTGGAACGTAAAACAGCAGGTGAACACGTCGCAACTGCATCAGTCGAGGCTTGGTCTCCTCTCCCAAGCCTTCATGCTCTTTGTGGTCGTTGCTTTCTTGCTTAGCAAGACTTTGAGCGAGTTTTGGAGATCAAAGTACGATGAATATTGTTTAAAGCATTTTTTCAGGGTCATTTTACCTTGGTGAATCAGTCACTTATTTGTTCTTGTAACATTTTTTTTTTTTTTTTTCAGAGTTCCACTGTCCAGTAGAAACTGGCACGACCTGGTCTTTCGAGTAATTGAGGTTGGTGTCATCATGTGGTTTCCCTGTGTACTGTGGAACTGCATGTAGTAAGTATTCATTGAAATTGCTCAAATACACTGTAGCTTAAGTACAAAAGTATAAAAACAATGAAATATTTGTTTTCCAGCCCCGAGCAGCTATGGATCCTGAACCCTCGTCGAATCTTGTATAAAAGGGACCAAGCCAAGAGCTCCAAAGAAATCGAGCTGCAAGAAAAATCAACGACCCAGTCCGAATCAAAACCTCTGACTGATGCTATCTCAACCACCAGTAGCGCCGACTGTTGGATTTGTTATGATAGCGAGCGGCAGGACGCCGGTCCATTGATACAGCCGTGCCGATGCAGCGGTGACGTAGCCGCGGTGCATCACGACTGCTTGCGCCGTTGGCTCGTCGAGGTACGTATATACATACATCGATAATAGTCTTTTCACATCCGTTGCTGTTACATCATATTTCGCTGACAGCTACAATTGACAATAAACGCTGATTTATCGCGTAATACGTTTTTCAAAGAATTCGATCATCTCGGTAGTTTTTTTTTTTTTTATTTCTTACACGTTAAATGATTTTACAGAGCTCGACAAATATTGACAATCTAACGTGTAAAGTGTGCGGCTCGCGTTACAAAGTTGAACAATCGAGCCGATTTGACTGGCAGAGTAACTTACTATTGCGCTACTGGCTGCAAACAATTGGCATCGTTACAACAATGTGCGGCTCGTTCGCCATTGCTTGTACAATCATTCAGTTGGTTGAGAATTCGTACGCGAAAATGTCTGCGGTAGCCGCTGCTATTATCATCATATACATTTGTTTCAAGTGAGTCTTTTATTTTTACCAATAAAATCATAAACTTTTTTACATCAAAACATCAATGCACAAATTATTACAATTGTGTTTTTTTACACAGATTTTTAAATGTAAACATAGCAGTGGCCTGTCAGAAAGCCAAAATATTGTCCTTGAACATTATCAATGCAGAAACCGTCGCGGAAGCTCAGCTCTCGACGATTAGTCGTAGTGTCTCTGTCACCTTGGCAAAATAAGAGGACTGAAAAAATAGTAGACAAGATGATAATGATAAAATACTGCTAAGGTAATTATTAATTGCATAAAGTGCGATTCCACATGACTGAAGCATAACAATGAGCGCCTGAATTTTTATACTTGAAAGAAGAGAAGATGCTTATGTACAGAGCGCTTGAGTAATTCAGTTTGACAATTTGTAAAATGCATTTTTTTAAATGTATTGATTAACTTGACTTGGGGATTGAAAGTTACAGCAAAATTTATTTGCCAAGAGTTATTTCATTTCACATGAAATTTTTAAGCTGTTACGACGAAATGGACTGTTTTGACTATTTTTATACTCTGTACGCTAGGTATTTTAAAAACTTTAGCTCATAAATGATATTCTAAGTCAATAAATAATGCAAAACTGCTAGTCTATACATTTCTTTTTTTTTTTTTTTTTTTTTTTTGTAACATTACATAATTTGTTAGCTGTTTATGAGGGTATTTATTATGAATACAAATTTCAAAGGTGCATACAAGTATCAATTTTTCAACTTTCATAACAAATTCAGCAGTTTCTAATTATCAAATCGCCAAATAGGTAAACCTGTTGCAAATATCATCACAAATAAAAGAGATATGTACATCTATAGTTGTACATACATTCCGTTTTTAAGATTTTTACATTTTTCACAATAAAAAATAAAACTTTCACATCCCGAGTAGGTGTGCTTTTTATGATCAAACAATAAGTACATTCGATTGCTAAAATAATAAAATACATAAGTAAAAAATATTTAAATCGAAAGAATAGTAAAAATAGTAGTTTTCCTACGAGTTTGAAAAGTCTCTGTTTGCGGCCCGAGCCGAAGGCGAGGGACGTAACGAGGTTTGTAAAGGAGACTTTTTGAACGAGTTTCGGAAAACTGCTTTTTCGCCCGAGGAAGTACCAGCCTCCCAAAACCACCCAAGGGCGGAAAAGGATTTTTATATTCAATACACGACTAATACTTGCTAAAAACTTTTAAATTCACATTTTTTTCTAGAATTCATTTCGTATTTAGGTGTCTAAGTGTTGAAAAATTATTTAAAAATCAAAGTAAGTTTACTAACAAAAGCATAACTACAGTGTTGCTGAAAATTATGATTATAAAAAGTAATGGAATCATTACAATGATTATATAATTTGTGATACCATGTTCTACGTTAGAATGTGATTGTATAATTTTATTCAAAAAAAATTGATGTGTTAATAAATTTAATGTCATTAAGTAAGGGAATATGTGATGCAAAGATAACGTGTGTGTATGCCAAAAGAGCCAAGAAAACGTGAAGATCGTGATAAGATATGTATAAGTAGACAATAAGATATTAAAAAAAATAAATAAATAACAAACAAGTACTGATTGAAAAACTGCTTTCAGCATAATTTTTATTCTTTATAAATTTTAAGTCAATTGAATATCAATTGAAAGTATGAATAAATATGTAAAATCTTAAATGTGTAATTAATGTTAGAAATAAGGGAAAATAAAGACACCTCGTTTTTCTTATCTCTATTGTATTTCACATACTCAAAATTATTTTAAAAGAATACAGAATATTGTACATATTACAGTTCTTAAAAATAAAACTAATAAAAAAAAAATAAATTATTCAAGTGACTTCACCAAAATCATTTACTATTGTTGGGTATAATAACGATCTCTAGATTAATATTTCAACAAATTGCTAACACAAATTGTAGTTTATGAATTTTTGGGTTTACTACATCGATAAAAATTTATTTATCGTCATTCTACAGAGATCACTAAAGATAATTGATTTTTTTGCTGTCTAAAACGTAGAAATATTCTTAGTAAAAACAAAGAATATGTTGATTGTTTATAAATTTACAAAAACTAAGACAAAAAAATTTTTTGTATAGAAAATGATGGTACTTTATTTTAATCATTTTCTACTCTATATGGTTTTGTATAAAATTTCATGTTAATCCACATTGATAAGCATACATGCACCAAGAACAGAATTACCATTAGATATTTTAGTATTTGATTTTAAAAAATAAAATTTTTTGTTTAAAGTCATAGAAACAAATAACTACGTGCTTAAAATATTTTTCCCAATAAAATTTTTAATTTTTTTTTACACAAATTTTTTTTGACTTTCGTTTTGAAGAATGCTGTCATACATCTCACATGATTTTTTTCTAAAGTAACTAAAATCTTAAAGTTACATTTTATTTTATTACTCGTTCAGATAATTACTTAAGTATGTATGAGATACAAGTTACGAGTTTTAATCAGATATCGAATAATTTGATGATTATAGACATACAAATACGACAAAACTAAAGAGTCGTGCAGTGTTCATACTCTACAGCTTCTACATCAATTTCGATTGTTCGTACTCGGTTTCTCTACACGACATATTGTATTTGACGTGTTTCCTTTGGGAAATGGTTTTATTCAAGTGGAAACAGTGTGATGGTATATTATTCTAAAAACTGAAGTTCTTTAGTTTGAATTGTTTATTACTCCAATTGTTTTAAAAAGTGTCAATTCTCTCAAAATTGGGTACGTGATAAATGCACTCAGTGATTTCATTTTTCAATTTAAGCTGAAAATAATGAAATAAACTAATAAAACGAGGGCAAAAATCAAAAATTTTCGTTTCGACAAATTTATATACAGAAATTACCAGCAATTCCAGCGATAGCTTCTGATGCGAAATATTTTACATCGGCATCGGCGTCAGCATTTAATTTATCAAGAACTGGTTTAACCTGGCTTTGTACTGCATTCGGCTTTAGGTACGGTCCAATACGTTGAAGAGTTTTCGCGACGTTAAATCTGACATTTGCTACGTTATCGTTAGCCATGGCTATGACCGTTGGCAGCATGACATCAGTCGTTATGTCAGGGCCACATACTTCAGCCAAAACCTGGAATTTTTGATGGTAAAAATCAAAATAACTCCAATAAGGCGATAGATCTGATGATAAATAAGAAAAACGACAAAATTCATACGTTAATACAGAATAAGCATGTCATTCTGTGAAGATAATTTTGATCTCGGGACATAGCTAAAACTTTGGGAATCACGGTGTTTTGTGCCCATTCAGGGCCGAATTTTTCAACCAGCTTCTTAAGATTCAATGTTGCTGCTTCTCTGATGGCAAATACGTGATCAACCAACCAAGTCATGCACAAAGAGTTTAATTTTTCATCAAAGAATTCTACTCCTAGTTGGCCTGCTAATAAAGGCATATATCTGAAAAAATGTACGGAAATCAATAAATTGACACATTTTAGATTATTCTTCATCAATAACTTACTCAATAATAGCGAGTCGCACTCGCCATTTGGTATCTTCTGCAAGCTCGACTATGGCTGGTAAGAGGGATTGCGAAAGTTGCTGAATACCAATAACTTCATTCACGCAGTCCAAGTTACTAATTATGTTTAAACGCACCTCAGGACATTCGTCTTTGAGTTGAGATAAAAACAATGGTAACAAGTGCTCGATTGTGCTAAAAGGAATTAAAATATGGTCTTATAGAATCTTATCTAATGAATAAGAACAATAATAGATAAAACCACGTTTTCATAATATTAATACTATGTACCTAGTTGACCGGTAATAGTTCATTTGTCCCGTGATTCAGATTTTCTATGACAAAAAAAAAAAAAAAAAAAAAAAAAAAAAAAAAAAGTGTTGGACAATAAATTTCTTGAATCGTAATCTATAGATCAGCCCGGATCTAAGATAACGAAAAATGTTTGTTTCCACTTTTATAGATGGAAAATTAACGTAATATTTAATTGATGAAGTTTATAAATCACTCTTCACAGCTTTGACAGTTCACAAAACTTTTTTTCTTGTTACGTTATGTTACAAGACAATAGCTTTCACTTCAATTCTTATGCACTAGTTCATTGCCAAGAGCATTGGGATATACTGAGCTCAGTTCAAAGCACGCGCTTAGAAGATACCCGAAGTCTTCCGCGTTACAAAACTTTTTTCGCGGTGAAATGTCGACTAACCAGCTGACCAGACGGAAACAGAAAAGTGGGGTGTTGACATTATTAAACCGCTCAGTGATAATATAGCCATTCTAATTTTGATCACCCATTGTCTATAGCATTTAAGCCTTTGTTAGAATTGGCAAGTTTAATAAGTGGAATTAGGAATTTTGATTAAATTTTTTTTTTTAAGAAATGTATGAAGACAAACATGAATGTTATTGTTAAGCAATTTAAAATTAGAACTTCACATCTTGTTTGATCACCGGGTTGATATATATCTTATGGATCGACAACTATGCGCAGTAATAAATCGAACGATTGCGTAATGTGTTTACAAGAGCGTATTAAATATAAAAACTTGTCTATAGAATAGTTATTCTTAATGAATCAATTGCATATCAATGTCGTACTTTTTGCCTACAACTATATAAGTATATCTATCTACTTGTGTTTGATGAAAATATTGAGATCGCAAGTAACTGTGAATCACAAGTTTTTCAAAAAAGCCATTTATGCTCATTTACCTCTATTACGAAATACTCACTTCATTTTGCCTAGAATGGGACTTAAGCCCATGATAACGCTAGCCAAAGCCGATTTGACGTGTTGGTTGGGATCGGCAACGAGATCCTTGACGTAGGGCAATATGTTGGACATGATGATGGATTCTTGATAGAAGGGATCGAGATTTTGGCAAAAGTCGCGCACCTTGTCGGCAGCAGCAGCGCGCACCTCGGCTTCGGTATCCTTGAGCAGCAGCTGGAATGCCTGGACGAGGTCAGAGCGCGTTATATCGGGGCCAACGGCTTTTTGGAGGTCGGTGAACTTGTCGGCGACCATGTAGCGCACGCGCCACGACTGGTCGTTCGCGCACTGGCGTAGAGTCGGCATTACCAACTGTTCAACATCCTCTTGCTGTAGCAGCGTGGCAATGCTAACACAAGCTTCCACAGCTAACAAACGCACTGAGTCCTAAACAAGAAGCTCTACTTAGTTGGTTGTCTATTAATTAAAATGAAATGTCAGTGCCGTTTATTGGGTTTACCTGTTCATCCTGAGCCAATATTACAAACATGGCAATCAAGTCTGACTTTAAGTATTCATTTTCCACGACTTTAGCGAATTCTCCTAATTTGGCAGCTGCTGAACGACGTACCATAGGTGTGTCATCTTGACACAAATTACGGAAGTGATTTCTCAGGTCACCTGTACAAAATTAATGCAATATTAATATGATATTGATTAAATGTTAAATAAACTAAGAATTTTCAAACGAGGAATGCCCAAGTACCTTTGATGTGTTGACTAACACGAGGATAACAAACACTAAACAGTCCACAGGCAGATGTCCTCGAGGTGAACCAGTCACCAGATGCCAAGCGTTGCACTAATGGTACAAAATGCTCTTCCAAATCGGCTGGGCTGTGCTGGCCAGCGATATTTCTAAGCGATTCTACAGCTTTATCTCTAACAACAGTTTCTTCCACGGTGGCCAATGATTCTAAGGGGGGCTAAAAAGAGCAATGTAACATTACAATAAAACAATAGATTTAATAACTTTATAAAATGTACGAAATGAAAAAAAAATGCTTACTAATAAACAGTGAACGTGTTCTGGTCCACCAACAAGTGGTGTGAAAGTTCCCAGCTGTTCTGCAAGAGCCAAGAGAACCTCATCTTCATCGTAAATTGTCTCTGTCAGGAAAGGTATGAGTTCCAAACGAGTTCTTTCAACACCAAGAGCCAAAGCAATGGTGGATAGTTTCTTAATAGAATTTAACCGCAACTGAAACGAAACGACCATTGAAATGTAGTAAGTAGTAGTAAAGTAGTGAAAAACCTAATTATTTTGCTCATTATGGGTGTAAATACTTCATGCAGATTGTCAAATTAAAAAATTACTCATTTAAGATTCTCATCACATACAGCAAAAGCTGATTATTACAGACTCATTAAGTTTATCTACACCTATAGTCAACGGTAATTAATTTTTAATGATAAACAAAACTATTGGGTACACAAAATTTCCAACCTATGATGCGAAGTTTCTTGTTAGAAATAAAAATGGAAAAAAAGGTTAAAAACAATGAACCGAGCTCGTGTAATATACTTAATATCGACAAGAGGCTTGTAGCTTGATGGAGCTCCGATTTCAATCACCATCAACTAAGCCCGAGAAGATCGTCACATCACTGTCAATCTACACCTACACACTAATATAATAAACTCTATTGAAATAAAAACTTAGATTAGTTGAACCTGACACGGCAATAGGTACAGCAACAACCGAAAAAAAAAAAGATCAAAACCCGCGCGGGCGGAATCAGGTGGACATAAAAGTGTACGCGCGTATCCGGCAAAACGGCCTTGACGAATGCACTCGTTCCAACATCTGCAGGAACTAGAAAGAGCTGACGCATAAATGCTCACCTGGACATCTTCGTTCTTGAGCTCGTCGATGAGCACAGCTATGGGGTAGAGGCTATCGTCGGTGGTCGAGTCGCTAGCTGCCATTTTGCTACTGGCTCTCCTCCGCCTGGCGCCGCTTCACACCCTCTACACTACACTCTCTTTCTCTCGCTCTCCTTTCCTAGCGGAGTGGCGGAGTCCTGGCCAGCAGGTATAATATACCTAGCACTAGCACACACTGTTTTCGTGTGAGAGAGAGAGTACGAGGATAAGTACACCGCGCGCGATCCGTCAGCTACTTATAAGCTTGTATCGTATCGCTCCGCCTTTGATGCCCGCTGCCTGTTGAAGAATATAGGAAGTAAATATATAGATATGTAGGTACCTGCAGGAGGCAAAGTAAAAATTATAAAATAATAATTTCACATACCTACCAACCTATTATGTTATATACAAATAGTGATTCCTCGACTTCCTTCTTCCACCTGATCTGTAGGTTATAGTGCAATTTCTCCCTTCTGAACCTCTTTCTCGAGTTCGATTCGAGAATGAGAATTTGGAAAAGGAATTTTCAAACCCGTTTTGTTAATGTGCGTGTGTGGGTGTGCTTCTTCTGCCCCCAATCCCCAACACCGCTCAAAAGAGGTTCTTGCAAAATAACAACAAACCGTGAATCTTATGGTCAGAGCATATTCTCTGAATTGATTGTTGATCGTAAACGCATTAACCTTATCAACTAATGGATATAGGAGGTACTTTTTCTTTTCTATTTTTAGCTTTGAAAAGAAATAGAGGATCAATTTGACGTCAACTGAAGCGCCAATTGCAAATGTGAATGTACATGAGGTTGTGAATTCTGTAAGCTGTGAAAGTAGGCTCTCGAACATCAACGCCCTCACCTTCTGATCTTTCTACATTGTGTTAAAAATTTGAAACTCTCAAAGTAGGCAAGTTAGGTTTTTAAATCCTATAGGATCCTATATAGTGTGAAAATGCAATGGTGATGGTGAATTGGTGATTCAGCGGACGATATGACGAATTGACCAATGGCCGACATTAGCCACCTGGCGATTGATTTTCGAATTTGTTTGCTTGTGAAAACTGAAAACTGCAATGCAGATTAGAAATTTTTTAACTACGTACTTAAGTAAAGTTAATGTCTAACGTTAAAAATAGTAATCAAATTGCACGTGGTTAAAAAAAATAGTCATTTTTATTTTTTAACGCTTATTCTATCGGTATGGACGTATAAATATGTACAAATGGCTTTGTGTAGAACTATTACATAGTTAATACTAAACGCATCAAGTAAAGTAAAATACTTGCAAATATTTTTACAATTGACTTAACATTTCTATACGAAACATTTGTATTATGATTCAGCAATCTTGTTCAATATCTGTGTCTGTTACTATCCTTCCTTCTTTCTCTTTTAGATGATAATAAACGGCAAATAGCTTTCTCATTTTGTCAGGCCTCAGATAATTATTATTCATGGTATTGAAGTACTCCAAAGAATTGGAAGTAATAGATGCAGGTATCCCCAACAGCTTCAGGGCCAAGTTGGCCAGCTTAGTATGAGTTCTTCGTGCGAAGCCCCAGTAAGTTTTGGCTGTCACGTTTTCTTTTAGATTCAGACTTTTGAAAATTCCCTCCTCATTAACGTACGCCTGCAAACTTTCCAAGCCCTCGGCGTCCAAAAGATTCAATAAAAACTCCTCGACTTTGTTCATCTGTTCACCAGTGAGCTTTTGCCCTCTATAGGAAGGGTGTAAATAATTTGCAACAAGACCATGGATAATCAGAGCTTTGTTCCGATATTCTATTATTTTTTCTAGTATGTCTGATTCATTGCAAGGCATCTGCAGACTTAACCACTGCTCTGCTGCATCAGCAATACTGGATTTGGGTGTGCGGCACACAGTGCTTAAATCAGTTACCAAGTCCATAAGATTGCTGCAGTACTCAATTTTGCGAATAAAATCCATATCAAAGAAGTTATTCTTCAAATCTTTAGTAATCTTATATTCATTACTATCGCTAGATAGTACCGTCTGAATCATATCAATATTGCTGTTGCAAAATTGAAGCATATACTTGATACTCTCCCAACTTGTTTCATTACATAGCTTTTTCTCAAGTTCACTTGCTTTAAACGTAATATTACAGTACTTTAAAGTTTTACATAAAATATTCATAAAATTTGGAGTTGCGCATTCATTTATAACATTACTCAAAATTTGCAAGTTGCAAGGAAATTGCCACAAGTCGTCATCTTTGTCCAACTTCAAGGTAAAATCATTACCTAATATGACTGCATACACTTCTGTCTTGAATTGATCAGTAGCTTCCATTACACATGACTTTGTGATATCCGTGAGTTCTTGCATGCTGTCCCTGCTATTAATTGACAACTCATAATTATCCATGAAAATCGTTTCGTTGGCCTCAGTCTTGAGCATAACAGTTATGGTCTTTGGATTACCAATCTGCGTCTTCCATCCATCTATCATTAAGATAGATGTAGGACCGACTTTGGTGTCCTTGCAAATTTTGGAATACACAGTGTCAAGCATAGGTCCAGCAAGATTCTCACTTGTGATGGGCTTAAATTTTGAATTCAAGGTAGTACAGAGCTTTTTAAAGTACGGAGATTCGGCAATAGAGAACGGTATGTTGCAACCAATGAAGAATTCGGACAAAACGATGTCTAATTTTTGATCTGCGCTAACTGGTGGAATAGGCTTTGGGTCTTCCTCGAGGTCCTGATCATCTATGATGAAAGAGTACGATATTTCCCCCGTCTGATCTTCATTGTATTTGAACGAGTCATCCATGTCAACGAACGTGATGGTCGTCGAGTTTTCCGGGGTGATGATCTTGGTGATCTTGCCAATATCCAAGTCAGTGTCGATCACTTCTTCGTTGTTGCTATCGAAGGAGCAGACCCTTCGGTGGGCGGTCAGACGCTTCGAGGCAGTATTGCACAGGACCTTACTACATAGGATACAGTAGGCTGCGTTGACGGTACGGTGAGTTGTCTCGCAGTGCTTTAGCACCCGGCGAAAACCCTGACTCCAGACATCGTGCTTGGGCCGACCTGGTGGCCCTTTCTCCACCTTTTTCTTTGGCATCGGTGGCATGACTTAACAACCTAAAAAGCATAAATAACCACATTGGAGAGACTCGAATCGACATGTCCAATAATGATAATACAGTCGTCGGCGAAATGTGACCCGTGCAAACGGCGAGTGAGTACTCAACTGCACGTTTTTTGAACGTTACATTTTGTTATTGCTATTTTCTACGCAGTATAAATCTTACGTATACAGTGCGATGGGTACTTTACCTCTGACAGACCGGTTACGCGTACAGCGTACTTGTGTATTGATACTCTAACGAGGTAGATCGTAGATGCACTTTACGTAAACAACAGAAAGTAGACATGTATGTTTTTACTTGCACTTCAAAAATAAGTAGGGTATTTTATGAAAAAAAAAAAAAAAAAAAGTAATGAAGTTTTTAAAAAGACAAGGTTACCTGGTTAGAAAAATTAGACCTAACCAAGATATATATATGCCCAAGCGTGAAAATTGAGGATATGTCATAAGTCTGCAATGCTCTGCACTTATGCGTTTCACATGTATATGTACAGTCAGTGTGGAACTTTGTTCTGTCCCAGACCTTATTATTGAACACTACTTCACGCCATAGTTCCGAAATAAGATCCAGGACAGATCAGAGTTCAACTGAGTGTACAATAAGGGTTTGAAAATAAGGAAACGCTTCGTTTCGGGATATATTGTGGAAATTGGACTTAAATAAGTATAATATGAATGATATTTTATCAAAGGAAATTCGTCAACATAAAGTAGTCATTAAATTTTAATTAAAAAAAACAAACAAGTTAAAAAAAATTCTAAGCATGTAAAGTACCAGCGATACGGGACGGTAGTGCTTAACTGGGCAGCCCTGAGCGACATCCATTTTTCATCATTAAAATGCAATAAATGTCTTGAGAGATCTTTAAAGACGAAAATTAGATTGCACTTATAAACCGATACCAATTTATATTAGGCACCTAATATCTCTAGCAGGCTATGCATTGCTAAGCCGAATACAACTAATGTTAATTTAATAGAATAGGAATAGAAATTTCGAAAATGCCGTGTGCGACCAGTGCGACGTGTGCGACCGACACGCCGCGCGCAGCTCCTCCCCCCAACACATATATACATCACACACGTGACAGATGAGTATACATTAAGTAGCAGCCAAATCTGAATTTTCTTTCGTGCACGTGTGGTATACGAATGCAGATTAGAGTTATTTTTGCAAAGTATATTGATAGTGGAATAAATAATAACCCTTCAAAATGGTGAGCGAAAAAATTGTGGAATCATGGATGTTCGTGCACTTGGCAAGCTAGAGAGAGAACGACGATCCTCTCCTGCTGTCTTATTCAGCCAATCACTTGGCAAGCTAGAGAGAGAACGACGATCCTCTCCTGCTGTCTTATTCAGCCAATCACAAGCAGCTATACGCATGTATATATGTTCTAAACCGTTTGTTTACATGCAAGAAATGTTGCCTGATTTTGGCTAGAGGGGGCGCAACCTCTGCTTAGGCTCGGAGCGAATAAGAGAACATGTGTGTGTATGAAAGCACAATTTTTATTTTTACTTGTCTGATACATAAATAAATATGTATCAGGGTGAGATTACATGGAGTCTGGCAGTCTGCAGACTGGCAGAATCGCGCTAAGTTTAAATTATGTTTAAATTATAACGTCTCAGAATAATTTAGTAAAATAAAGAAAAATTGTAATTATTGTCATAACCGAATAAAGGCTTAGTTACAATCAATTTCATTGACAATAAAACGTGTCAAATATTATTTTATAACTTTTTTTATAGATTTATGTTAACATCGTACAGTCGGTCAGTAGGGTCACTGATGTAACCTGGTATGTATAACAATATGTAACTGTGACAAAACGTTTTTCGTCGCCTTTTTTTTCGTAAATATTAGTTAATACAGAAATGCAAATGTATTACGATAATTATTTCTTTGCTTACGTAACAGGTTTTAAATATTAATATTGAAACATATTTTAAACTTGGCGCGATTCTGCCAGTCTGCAGACTGCCAGACTCCATGATTGTAGTCTCACCCTCAGAGTGCTCAGTGCTGCAGCCAAACGCATGCGCGCTAACTCCAAACGAACGCTCGTGCACTCGGTTCACTCGTGCGCTCGTGCGTTCGTTCCAGAGCACTGGGGTGCGAACTTCACTTTACGTGGACATACCTACTTCATTTGAAAAAGTAGAGTTTTTCTTTAAAATTCCTAACCTTGTATCCACGTAATTACGTGGATTTGGTGCGAATAGACACAGCGATACAGATGGAGGTATGTTTATCAAAGATTATGTTCATAGAGTACATAATACAAGTTTACCTCGTCTTATTTTTGTTGATTAATTTTTTTAAAAGCAAATAAATAGAGATTTCGTACTCACATGGTCGTTTTTATATAATAAACAAATGTTTGGCGTATCATTTTAAGGAATACGAATTATTTACTTGACCTTTTTCTAAGGTCTTGAAAAGATGTATTATTTGTTATTATACTATGTGTTGATTGTATTTTTAAGGTTGAAGTTGTTAATGGTATTGAAGGCAAATCCAAGTCCAAACCTTCATCAAAAAGGGTTAAGAATGTTGAAGGAAACGAAGTACGCAAGGTAGGTATAATTTTTGTTGAAAAACCAATTGTGATGATACAACTTACATTTTTCATACTTTTTCAAGATCCCAGTGCTACGTCATAGATACACGCCGTTGAAAGAAAATTGGATGAAAATATTCACACCTGTAGTCGAGCACTTGCAACTGCAAATTCGTTTTAACCTCAAAACAAGAAATGTCGAATTAAGGACAGCCCCAGAAACTCCTGATATTTCAAATCTTCAAAAAGGAGCAGATTTTGTTAAGGCATTTCTCTTGGGTTTTGAGATTGAAGATGCATTGGCTCTTCTGCGTTTGGATGACCTGTTCATTGAAACTTTTGAAGTCAGTGACGTCAAGCCTCTTTTAAAAGGCGATCACATATCCAGAGCTGTTGGCAGGTTGGCTGGCAAAGGTGGGAGAACGAAATTCACAATAGAAAATGTTACAAAAACAAGGATTGTTTTGGCTGACACCAAAATTCATATTCTTGGCTCTTATCAGAATATTCAGCTGGCTAGGAGATCGATTTGTAATTTGATTCTTGGAAGTCCACCTTCTAAGGTGTATGGACAATTGAGAAACATGGCAAGCCGAATCGCAGAACGGTTTTAAAGGGTATCAAGTAAAATATGTATTTTTAGGTATAAGCAAAACGTTGTTTATTATTAAGATTTAATAAAATACTCGATCTGTATTAAGTCGAACTTTTTTACCTCATACAAAAATATACGTAGAATCACAATAATATTTGATATTTATACTTTCGCGGCACTTTGTTTAACACTAATCTTCCATCATAACTTAATGATGCAAATGTCCAAGGATCAGCAGATGACCACTCAACAGCATACACACTGTCTTCATGCTCCTCATATTTAGCTAGAACTCCATCCTCTAATCTTAAATTATATTCAAAATGGTTAAATGATACCATCTTGCAAAAAAATTTTTTTTTAAACAAGTTGAACTTACTTTTCTTTAGTACAAGTTTCTTCCATTGATGCTCCTTCTTCAAGAGAAACTATGTGGCCATATGGCTCTGAAGAAATAGAAGCGACACTAGATAAAATAACACGCGAGTCGCTACTAGATGTAAGCACCAACTGATCATGAAATCGATTGATCCTTATTGACCAAACCCAGTGAGAGTGTTCCATCCTTGACATAACTGGCTCAATAGGACTTCTGATGTCCCAAAATTTCATACTGCCATCATCACCACAAGTTGCCAAATAATATTGTCGATTTGTATTGAAGTCTAAGTCTCTGAAAAATTAGAAATTATTTTTTTTTTTCTTTTTCAGTGAAAATAATTTTTTTTTTTTTTTTTTTTTTTCAATGAAATGGCCACCTGATAATTTGGGAATGTGCTGACATGATTGACCATGCCGGTTCTTTTGGATTCCGAAAGTCCCAGCTTCTAACGTGATTATCATTTAGTGTTGTAAACTGGTTGCAAGAACTGTGTGGATTCCATTTGCCATTTGTGAATTTTGGTTGACTTTTGCTTGTGAACGTTCCCACAGTAATAACCTAAGATTTTATTAGATATTAAACACTCACAAATTTTCAATAATGGTGCATTATGTACATAAATGAAGTAAATTTACCTTTGGTTGAAAACTCAAGTCCCACAAAACAAAATTATTATCAACAACTGAAACCGCTTTTTCACCATCCACTGGGTGATATGCAATGGTCTTTAGATCATTTCCATAAGGCGTTGTGTCAATATCAGCCAGTTTCTGCAGAGGTACTATGTCATTGACATCTTGAGCTGTGGGAATCTTCCACAGAGCTCCTCTCATTTGACACAAGCTATCATCTACAATAAATAGAAATCTAGCAATCCTGTCAGATATGATACTTTGTTCAGAAGACTTTGATGTATAATTTTAACCTGTGAGCGAATTGAAGCATGTTACAAATTTATCTGCATCAGTTGGTGAAGCTTGCAAAGACCAGATTTCACCAATCGGGTGCTGAAATATTTGTGTCTTTAAATTTCCAGTTTCTTCATTCAATTCTACGAGATGTACTTGATTGTTGTTAAATTTCAACGACTGAGTTCCAACTAGAAATCTGACAGCTTCTAACTCTGCAGTTTGTGCAGAGAGAGCTCGAGCCTTAGCAAAAAATTTAAATTTTAGTAAATAATAATAGTCATGCTGCATATAGTCTCTAAAAGAAAATGAGAGTACCTGAAATTCCAAGCCATAAATAACTGGAGCATCCTTTTCCATGTTGTCTCATTTACAAATGCAATGAAATACACTCTCTAATCCCTCTGTCAAAACACTTAAAAAACACCCACAATCTGTTGACTGTTCTGTTGACAATTGACATGACAGGGACAAGGTAAAGTATTCTACAAAGAGGACGCCACGTGTCTCATTTCTTTCCAATAATCCGAATCCGATCCGAGGGTGTGAGAGAGAGATCGGGATATCCAAGCCCAAGAGAGCTACATCGAAACTACAAACATTCAATAATCCAGAAAAAAAAATTGAAGCGCTGACTGCTGCCTGCATCCTAATAAGGTTTATCGTTTTAGAGGAAATTGAGTATTTTTATATTTGAAGTGTATTCACTCCATCAGCAAACATTGATGTAAAAAGTTCAAATCCGATCGATTTCAAACACGATTCCTGCCACGCGCGAGAGCTTGCCTCGTAGGCAGCTAGATGGAGGTTCAAGTCCAAACAAACCGCGCTCAGCGCGTTGCTCCGTTTTGGCCTTTTCGGAGCAGCAAACATGCAGGGAGCGCGGGTGTGTATGCACGCACACACACACGTGTATATAAACAGTCGAGTTTTGAGAGAGAGACTGCCGCACGTGTATGAGTCCGTGGGGCGGAGATTCGAGTTGTGGGACGCAGGGGACAACAGACAGGCAGCTGCTTCGCTGTGGTGTGCTCTCTGTCTGTCCGTGTACCGCCTGTCGCGGGTCGCGAGAGAGCTGCGGACAACAGTCGTTCGTGTGTCGTCGTCGTTGTCGTTTCTCCTCGTGGACCCGACTCCGAAACTGTTAATCCGTACACGTTAGCATCCGAGACTTGCTTATGGGGTCAAAAAAAAAACGAAACAAAACGAGCTACAGTACAAAGAATTTATATCTCGGTAGAGCGTGTGTGTACATTCGTTATTGTTACTTCGGAGGATGGCAAATATAGGTAACACACTGCTGATGTGATGCTGTTGTACATAAGTACTCGGGTACTCGTGGTACACTTATAACTACGTACAGTTTAAATGTAAGAAGAAAAAAAGAGAGAGAAAACCGGGTTGATCAAGCCGGAGGCCGGAGGATGACGCGAGTGCGTGTGGGCAAAGTGTGTATGTAAAAAAAAAAAAAAAAAAAAAAACACTTGGCGGATTAAAAGTGATAGACGAAAAAGATAAACAAATCATAAAAGGAAGGAGCAAATGTTGCAGCAGCATAATTATCCTCCTCGGTGTTTTTTTTATTTGTGCGAGTGTGTATACAACAACCTTTAACACAACACGTATTCGTCACTTTGTACTCTTAAAATTGTTTTCATAATCAATTCTTATCATCTGGTATGCCTCCAAATTGAACAAAATTTTTTTTTTCAAAGCGTTTTTCTTGTGTACGTTTTTAACGGGGTGTACATAGCCAGGGAACACCTGATGTGTGTTGAATACTCAGATGGCACATCGCTCCACAACCCGACGACGATGACGAGAGTACTCTGGTGATGGTGAGTACCCAACTTGTGTTATATACCTCTCGCATCCTACATAACTACTCACAGTCACGTCAACGTCCTCTGTCCTCTCGCTCTCGCGATGAATTTGTTTTGAATCCACGACATCGGTGCTCCTTCGTGCTCCGTTTTTAATATTTTCGCGTTCAACGGCAGCGCATCGCGAATTATTAAAATGTACGTGATATGGTTTTCGAGAGTATAATAGGTATATGCGCGCAATATATCCTACCTGTATGGGCGCGAGAGAGTGCGGACAGGTAGGGTAAAAGAGCAAGGGGGAGAGGGACAGGACTCTCCTTAACTTACTCTCCTCCTGGCAACTGCTCTCCGCTGCTCTGATCTCCGCTTGCGCGCTCCGTTTTGTTATGTGCAGCATGCATGTGTATATCGGTATATGTTACGTTGTGTGTGTGGTTATATTCTTCGTTCTTGTCCTCGCTCTGTCGCGAATGAATGAAACGAGGATGCAGCTGTTTCCTCTTCGACAACCTATAACCTGTATACAATTACGTCCTACTCTAATATCTACTGTGCAAAATGTACCGTACGGTATCGTATATTGGACATGACAAAATCCTCAAAAATTCAAGTATTTTTGGACCTAAACAAGTGCAGGGCATTTATTTATTTTTTTTTCCTGGGATCGATTGTAATATCCATCAGGTATATTAATATGTAACGTTTGCGTGGTTGTTCAGAAGGTAGTTGAGCTTTCGTGGAGGAAAAATTGCGTAAGGACAAGTGAAGGGGATCGACCACACTGTAGCTGCCGTTTAATGTACCCACGTAGCAAAAATGAGACGATTGAGAAAATTAGAGACTCTATTGTAAGTGGGGTATTCCGGGTATAACATGCAGATATCAATTACCTGCAGGGATCAGAGGTATATGCTATGCAGAAAAAAAAAAAAAAAAAAATTTACGCGGTACCCTTCATTTGGCCGTATGATGCTGGCGGGAAAATGGAGAAATGTGTACGGGTGTTATCTTACTTACCCAATTGAGAAGCTCGCGCTTCTTCACTTCTTTCAAAAAAATTAAACAACACAGCTGTACTCCATAATACACAAGAACATACAGAGGAATAAAAGCACAGAAACGTTTACTATCACGTTTCATTTCACACAAAATTTGTTTTTTTTTCTCTCTTTACCTCTAGTTTATCTCATTATTTCGAGTCTTTCCTTGAGAAAACGAGACACACGCAAGTGCGAGGTTGCATGTCGTAAAAAACGCGAGAGAGCGGATGTGTGCCATTTTCGAGGAAGAGGAAAGTGCAGGTGCCGACAATGGTCACTTTTTTGTTTTATCGGTGCGGCATCTATATACATTCGGAAAGAGGGAAATAAGATGATTTTGTCTGAGGAGCCGAAAGTGCACGATGTACACCACTACTCTGGAGGGTCAGAGAACTCGGTGGAGGGTTTTCCGGGAACTGCAGGTGGAAAATTGATGGCTCACTCGAAACTGTCGCCAAATTTACTGCGCTCTTCCGTTCGTGAAATACAACTAATACATACTTTCGGGTCTCTTTTCTTTTCTCCCAATCGCACCCCACGGATCGGCTCGTCTTGGCACTTTTACGACTGACCTTCACCTTTTACGGTTATTGTTTGAAATCGAGTAGAGTCAAGCGGTTGAATTTCCAAACGTCCTGCTGAGCTTTCTATACAAATGATTTATTTCGGAATAATCCACAAATATAAATACAAATATGGTCAGTGTAACGTAACATTGTAAATTCAAGCGGCGAGTCTGTGTGTATAAATTTTTTTCTTTTCAAAGTCGAATTGCACACAAGTGTATATGATACACCAATTTACGCACAGCGTCCAACCACGTCAAGTGCTCATTGTAATTTTAAAAACAATCGAATTTTTTTTTTTTTTTTTTTTTCAAGAGTAAAAATTTAAAAAATGCAGCACTTGGCGATTCTAAATGCAAAATGAAGCCGAGATACTTTTAGGTAATAACAAAACGAGAGACTTTAAATGTTTGTCTTGCATCCTATACGCGCAACAAAATAATGCATTTCCGCGTTTTATCTTGCGTATTATTTTAAAATGCACATTATTATACACATAGCTTATTTACTCTGTTTTTACTGATCCGAGTACGTAAGTTGAATTGATTTGTCTGCGCGACCAGTATACGCGTGAAAACAATCGAGTTTGAGTTGCGAAAATCCCTTACTATACATTAGATTTATCGAGAAGTTAATGGAGATTCATCTCGAGGGAAAAATGAGTTTTCGCGCAAAGAAAAAAGACAAACACGAGTGGAGGAGAGCACTAGCTGGATAGCGAACTTTCGTGTCACCCGATGAAGTTTACACAATAGTATAAGGCATTCCTCTATACATGTATACCTACGAGGGCAAAAAGTTTTCGCTTCAAATGACTTTATGAGCCCTGCAAGATTCGGGGTGGGACGAAAAAAAATTCGATAACTTGTATCCGACGGCGATCGTTAAGTGCTCGGTAATGTCCGGTGTTATTGGAAGTTTTTTTTTTTCTTTTTTTTCCTACAGACTCGATCGATTCCATACTTGTATGATGCAAATTATCTGTTTGTATATCGCATCGCGGAGGAGTGGAAATGCCCATTTGTAGGAGCCGTGGTTGCATGAAATGTTATTAATTGTACGTTTTATTATTCCTTTCGCAATAATAAAATGAAACGAGACCCGCGCAGTATACTTGTGTGTCCTGTTTTTGCGTGTACAATTTGTAATCCATACTCGTTTGAATTATTACGCTGCAGCTTCATTATTTAAACATACTGTACAGGTTTATGCACGTCTCTCGTATAAGATTTAATAAGTGAGCGCGCGATTTGAAAGATCTCGTTCGAGAGGAGAGGAGCGGAGGAAACGAATGAAAATTCAAATTTTCGCGCGCCGAGTGATCTTTCTCTCTCCCCCTTTCTCTTTACGGATATCGCGGTTTATCCGTACTTATCTTTTATTCATGGAAATTTGAATTATTATTCGATCCCGAGGAGTTTCCCACTCCTTTCCTACAGCTTTTCAACGTCTCGAGAAAATATTGAAGTGGGTATCGAGCAAATGCGTTTATTTGCCGGTTATTGAAAAATTGAGACTGATCGCCGAGTGAATACAACTTTTTACACCCACAATTTGATGGATGATACAATTTTTTTTTTTTTTTTTCAGGGGAAGGGAACACATTTTTTTCTCCCGATTGCCAGAATAAATTCCCTCACTGGAATATAATTCTCGGTTTCCACTCCTACGCTGTTTCCTTTTTTTTTTTTTAGAGCTCAAGCGAAACACCTTTCATTGATTTGGAAGGAAGGAAAATAATAATAATAAATAAAAAGTAGTAATCGAGTACAGCAGTTGGATGCAAAAAAAAATTAGAGTTGAAGAAAAAAAAAAATTAAATTCGAGTGTGGCAACAATATAATAGATGTACAGTAACAATCGGCTGGTGGCTCCTGTAAACCCACAGAGAGGAAATGTAAGAAAGGCCTTCGCTCCTGTAAATCCTTATACTCACGCGTCACGAACAAAAATGTGTGGGGATCCGGTTCCCATGCAATACCTTCGTAAACCGCACTTGTCCGCGGGATTCGCGAATTTTTGTTTTTTGGTCCCTCCCTCCAAATGTCGGTGCTCTCGGCTTTGCGGACCCGACTGTACGGGTCTGTGTCTCCGTGCGCACGTCGGATCTTCGCTGATGTGCGTGGGAGAAAAAAAAAAAAAAGATACTTTTTTACTGCAACCATACAGGTTTGCGGACGAAGGGCTGCTTCGTGAAGTTGAGGACAAAGCTGCTCTCGGTCTGTTACATCCTCCTCTCTCTCGTCTCGAAGCGCTCGAAGATTAATCGTACGCCAACTTGGAGATCCATTTTTTTACTTTTGGTTACAGAGCGTATACTTCTTCTTTTGGGAACGTCCAACTCGTACGGTTTTTTCTTTGCTCCATTGGGAAAATCGCTCGTTAAAATTGCAATTGTTCAACTTCACGGTAATTATATAATATAAGTTTTAATCTCCTCTTCTCTTCTGAATTTCCATCAAAATTGGTGTATTTTTTTTCTTTTTTCTTCTCTCAAAAAGCTGCGCACAAATGCTAAGTATATCATGACAATCGAGTCGTGTACACATCACATGTCGATTCCAATTGTTATACTTACTCCCTACCCACAAGTATTAAAAGTATATCAAAGGCAAAGTTGTCCTTTGAAGAATACGTATACACCTAACATTATAATATAGGCCCGTATATTCATGGACAAAAGGAAGCAGAGGCAAAAACTAAACAATAACAAACAGGAAGGGATAACAAAAAGTCGACGAATAGGCGAATCTGGAGAGTCGCGGGAGGGGGGAGGGGGTATAATGCCGTTGGTTACTCATTAACATTGACCTATTGAGGTACTTGCTTGCACGGGGAGAAAAAAATTTTTCTCGCCATAAAAGAGAGGTGCTCTGTCCATACATATACATACACATATTAATAGCACGTATGCGTGTGCGCGCGCGTAAGGCATTATATTATATACGTTATGATAAATATATAGTTATGACCCATACTTATATTATTACGGATAATGTGGGCACGTTGCAGTTGCAGTACATATATGTAACAGTGTATGGCGCGAACGGTGCATTAAAGGTAAAAATGTAAGTCAATCCGCACGTTTACGGTACATTTTAATTTATTCGGCACTCACGCATTACCCACTTTTTTTCTCCTCCTTACATCCATCCCATTCGCGTTGTGTATGGTACAAAAATGCGCGCACACATTGTTTTTTTTTTTTTTTTTTAGCGATAAAACGGTGCGACCGACTGGATAATGTATAATATCAAGTCCCAGACTCTGTTTCGACAATACCTATATTCGAGACTCTGTACACTTAATACTGTGTGACGCATATTTATATGCTCGTATAGAAATACATCGTACATCATATTATACACTGCAGCTATGCTTAATGAGCGTAATGTTATGGTTCGTA